TCAAATTTGGTTTATTATTTTATTTATTTATTCATTTGATTATTTGTTTACTTCCTCTACTGATATGTTCGTAATTTCGTCGTCGTCGTCATTAGCTTTCTCGTCATCATAGTCACCGAGTAAAACAATATTGATAATTACTTTATACATTCTGTTATTGATATAAATAATAATATTATTCGTCATCATTATTTTATTAAATAATAATAATAATAGTAATAATAATAATAATGACGACGATGATGGTGATGGTGAGTGAAGATCATTACAAATATGATTACCTACGATTAATGATTATTATCATTCAATAAGCGAAATATGATTCATTCAATCATTTGCATCATAGAGTCTTATAATTCACTTTATAAAAATTATTCAATCTATCACTACATTTTTTTATACTCACAATTTGGAAAAATAACACTCATTCCAATATATATATATATAATATATATATATATATATATATATATATATATATATATATGATACGGAGCGTTGCTTCTAGTAAAAGACTGAAAGTTGTTAAACTGGATGGTTAGCGCATGGTGGTTTGAGTAAAAAGAAAGTAATTAAAAACTCTTCTTTTTTGTCTTGCTAGTTTTTGGAAATTATTTTCATTATAAATATTATTAAAATTTTATGATGGTTCCATTGGTCTATTATATGTATTATATATATATATATATATGTATATATATATATATATATATATATATATATAATGTATATATATATATGTATTTATGTCACAAAACCACATTTGACAAATTTTTTTTAAATACGTACAGTTTAACTGGGTATTTGTTACACATTACACACCACACCAAATACACATAATTATTTGTGTTCTTTGATTTAAATAATAATTTTGCCAAAAAAATTTTTGTATGGAAATTTAATGTAATTAATAAGGAAAGTTGTTGATTTATTCAATGTAATTGATGAATTAATGTAATTAACGAGGAAATCATTTGATGTGATTAGTGTAAGGAATATTGGTAACGTAATTGCCAGGAAATATGATTAATGCGGTTATTGAAAAATATTTTTAATGTGATTAATTACACACAACTGTTCAATACGCTCTTGTTTTTTTTTTTATTTATTTTTTAGTTCTTCGACATTTTTTTTGTTCTAATTTAATTTAATTGCTACTTTTGTCGTTCTCAATATCATTGATAATAAAATATAAATAATATTTAAACCCGTGTGGTTTTGGATAAATTTTCGTATCATAATAATGAAATAATGTGTGTATAATGTGAGTAAATTAAACGGTTGTTTGATTGGTTTATTGATTGATTGATTGGTTGATCAATCGATCAATTTCGTTTGATTGCCTATATCTTACTTGCAAAGTTGTCTAGATTCTTTGCTTAGATTTTAAATTAATGAAATTACTCTAGTTTCTTTGCTTTAATGACAAAGTAATAAAATTTTAATCGAAACGTTTCGGGTCTGCCATACAACCAGCTTTTAGATAGAGCCGTCCATAGCTGAGATTGTATAAAAGGTTGTGTGCGTACGTGTATATATATATATAGAATACCTTATACGCGTACCTCTGTGACTATAAAAGTTGTACATATACATTGCTAGATTTTTACTTGATTTAGTGTATTTTCTTATATATCAACCCGTCGAACGAACCGGAATTCTTACAACTCGGGATAATTGTTAGTTTCATTTTTGTTATTTTCAAGATGTTCGCGTTAAACTACCAATTTAGCGCAAGGACGTGAAATGGTGACAGAGTGCAATAATTATTCTAAATTTTTCGATTGTGTAAATATTTTGTGTTGATCTTGAAAAACTCGTTTAAAATTTTAACTCTTGAACATTTTTGAATTGAAATTATTTACCATAGTTCACTCTTAGTTTTATTATCAACTTGTTTTAATGGCAAAGTTGACTAGCGTGCAGATCTTGTTTCATTTTCTCTTTAAATGTTTTGCGGCGTGCTTGCCGTTAGGGACGAGATGCATCGCTGAAATTTAATAGTTATAAATTTTATCGCTTTGTTATATATTTGTTTAAATTTGACATTAATAATCGTACAGCTGATCGAGATTCATAGATCAGTTGTTGCTTTCTTGTTCTTCTGAGTTCTTTTTTGGTTGGTTTTTCCACTTTTCTCTGGTCAGTTGAAATCAGCTTCAGCGGTAGATCCGAGATCGGATCGGACCAGATTTTTAATTTGCTGCATTAAGTAGATTGCACTGTTTAGTGTAGTGAGTGTTAGTCACCGGAAATTTTTAATTAAATTGAAATTTTAAATCATTTATTTAATTAAGTTTTGTTTGTTGGATAATCAAATAATCTGTTTTTATTTTATTATGTTTTTATTTTTCTTTATGTAAAATTTTGGAAAATTTAATCAGGTTGAAGAAAGAATGTCTGATGATTTATCAAAAGTTGGTAGAGGTGGTCGTGGTGCCGCCATGCAACAGTTTTTGAAAAAGTATGCTGATGCTCGCAAACCTGGGGCTGATGTTAAAACCACAGAGTCGGTGAGCAGTGCTACTCCATCAGGAGCTGTTGGACTTGCTGCATCTGTTGCTGCCGCTGCTGCTGAGCAGCCGAAAACCACATCCGGTGTCACCCCTGCTCCAAGGGTAATTATTGTTTAAAAAATTAAAATTTCTTTCATTGTTAGTTTAATAATTTGTAGTTTAATAAAGTAATTGATAATAGGCATTGATTTTGTTGTTAGTTTTTATAATAAATAACTCTGAGCAAATGAAATTAAGTTATAATTATGAATAAAAGATCATTGCACCTGGTCGAGGCGCCGCATTGGAGATTCTACGTCAGAAGAGGCAGCAACAAATGATGAAGGCAGCTGGTGGGGGTGATGGAGGAGCTGGAGATGCTGGAGCTCAACAGGAAATCATCTGCAAGTTTGTACCTGGGATGCAGGGTGCCAAAACTGATAAAGGGGATGGAGATGTTTTAGGTGATGCTGTGCCCCCCAGTGTGGAAAGAGAAGGTGCTTGTGGGAGACCAGCTCTTCCAGGTAGAAAATTTAAAAATTTTCATCCTTATAGTTATTTTTGTAAAATCATGATCGCTGTTACATATATAACATAACATATATAATATGCTACCATCTTTCATTTTTCATTGTACCCAACATAACTTTTGTTTTCTAATTGGATGTCTCATTTTTACTTCATCTTCATCATCTGCCATCACCTCTCTGGATATCAAATTGTCATTTTATCACGAGAGGTCCCAATGTAATAGAATATGATTAACACAGATATTTTTATGCAATTGTGGTAATAATTATTACTATCTTTATTATTAATTTGTAATTGTTAATTTATTTATAATTATTATTAATTTATAATTTTTATAATTTTAGTGGCGCCACCGGGTCGTGGCAGAGGTATAATGTTACATGCCCAGACAGGTTCCTTGTTTGGACTGGCCCCCAAGCTTTTGTCTGCCCTGTTAGTTTTTTTTGGGTTTTCCATTTTTTGGGGGATTTTCCTTTTTCCGTGCAGTTGATTTTGTATTCAAGGTAATTTTTTGCTGTAAAATATTCTGAGTGGCTTCTTTTAAAGTATTATTCAGTTAAAATTTATTTTTTATTATTATAGTTAATGGAGATGCTGTCGCATTTGCGATTACTACTTGACTCAACTGTCATAAGTAGTCATGTTTTTACATGATTACTTTAACAGTATCGCTACTATCTTTCTTACTAATGTACCGAAATGAAACATTGTTTCATATGAAGTTTACTTTTCAACCGCAAAATATCAACAGGCCAGAGGTAAAAAAACCAAGTGCGGTACAATCTACCTACATGCAGTCGGGACCGAGAATTGAACCGACAACATTCGAGCCAGTCCCAGACAGGCCACCACCTATTGATAAGAGGGGATCTACTGGGAAAAAGTCAGTTTAGAGATGTTTATCTTTCATTATTGTTTCATTATTGTTTTTTAAAAATTATTATTTTAAATTTGTTAATTATTTAAAATATTCAATTTCGAAACCACAAATCAGTGCACAATTTTATGCAAGCTCACACACACAATACACACACAGTTTAAGTAGCACATTTAAATATAAAAACATACAATTGAATAACCATCCACACACACATACACACACAAACACACACAAAAACACACTCTTGCAGAGTTCCATTATGTGCCAACTACATAGCCCTGAGATGCAAAACAGATGGTATATATCAGTACTACGTCTCATTTGAGCCCATCGTTGACTGCTCATCGATGCGCTCCAAGATGGTCCACCAACACAAGCAAGTCCTCGGTGACACACTGGCATTCGACGGCATGACCCTCTATCTGCCTAAGAGACTTGAGAAGGAGGTGCTGTGTTAAATGATGGTGATAGTTGTTTTAATGATGAAGAGGATGATGATGATGATAAAGATGATGTTTATGGTTGTAGAAGTTCTGCTGCTGCTGCTGCTGCTGCTGATGTTTTGAGATATTGGGTGAGAATTGTGATGAAGATGATTCTGAAAGTTTATTTCTATAATAATGATGACGATGATGAGTGTGATGGTGACAATAATGATGATGATGATTGTGATGGTGACAATGATAATGATGATGGTAACAAATGATGATGATGGTGATAACCACTTGGAAGAAATTCACCCTATAATCTGTTGAAGTTAATTTTTTTCCACCTCAACAGCCGACTGTAGTGGAGAGTATGCGACACACAGACGGCGTTCCAATCATCATCAGCTTCAAATTGGTTAAAATAGTAGAGCCATATGAATGCATACATCTCTACAACATTATCTTCAAAAAGTTAGTCCTATAAATTCATTATTTAATTAATTATCTTCTAATAAATTAATAAATTTCCGTCCGGTAGATATGTTATATGAGTATATAACTTATATTTATATGCGTTTGTGGTGCGTATTTGTGTAGTGCATATTATATTCAAATTTATCTCCTTCTATCGTGTATTGTATCCAATTGTATCCCATGTTATCCCATTCTATTGCGCATTTATCCCATGTTATCCCGTTTTATCCCATCAGGATTATGCGTGCCTTGAATATGTGTGTCATAGGAAGGAATTATTACATGCCATCTGGTGCTCAGAAGATTCCGAAAGAGAAGTTTGTTGAGAATTTTATATAAGATTTTTACTTTTATTCAATCTTAAATTTGTAACCTAGGGTCAACATATTTGTTTATTGGTTATTCCATTAAATTATAATCAGAATTATTTTAACAAATTATGAATAATAAATCTTAAATTGTGAATAATGAATTATAATTATGAATAATAAATTGTGTTAATAATAAATAATATTCTAGGCTGGAGGTTTGGCCTGGCTACGTGACCTCGTGTGCAGAGTATCAGGGTGGTGTCATGCTGCTGGCCGATGTATCGCACAGAGTTCTTAGGACTCAAACTGCCTACGAACTCATGTAATTGACTAATTAATTGTTATTAATAAAATAATTAATTAATTAACTAGTTAACTATTGAAAGTAATCGGTTCAGTTAGGCCATACACTAAATGTAACAGCCCTAATTTACTAATCTAATTTTAACATGGTTGGATTATGATTTTCTAAAGAATAATAATAATAATAAAGAATTATTTCTTCCAAAACCAATAGGGAGGAGATAATGTGTAGTCACCAGCAGACGTGTCAAGACGACATCAGTAAGCTGTTGGTGGGAAACGTCGTACTAACGCGTTACAATAACAAGTGCTACAGGGTTGATGACATCAACTGGAATAAGACTCCCAGGTCTACTTTTAGCCTCTACAATGGCGAGACGCTGACCTTTGCCGAGTATTATAAGTCGGTGGTGTTTTTTTTCTCTCGTTTGGTTTTGTTTTACTCGTTGTATTTGTTTGTCTGTCTGTCTGTTTGTTTGTTTCGTCTTGTTTGGTTCTGTTTTGCTCGTTGTATTTGTTTGTCTGTGTTTATTTTGTTTGTTTATTTGGTTAATTTGTGGTTTTGTTTGTGAGTAAAATATCACTTGAATGTTCATTTCATTCAAATTTTCATAATTGGACACAAGTGAACATAAAAACGGACAACTTAAACAATTATACCCAATAAAAATAAACAAACACTAAACCAAAAACATCGAATAAATTTGAAAAAATACAAAATATATAATATTCCAGGAGAATGTATGACATAACAATCCAATGCATGGACCAGCCATTACTACTCTCTGCGCCCAAGAAGAAGCAAATTAAACAGGCTGAGCCTGGCAAAGATGTTGGTAATGATAGTGATGTTAATGATGATAGAATGATGATGATGGTATCACGACGATGATGGTGATCATAGTGATGATGGCGTGGTGATGATAACTTCGAAAGTGTGAGTGAATGATGCAAACAGTTTACTGAAGGGAAATAATTTTTAGATTTGTGTTTTAGTTCATTCATATGCTAGTTGATCATATTGATTGCGATTATTCACACACACACACATCACATAAGCACACAGACACACGCATACACGCACAGACACAAACGAGAACCAGATAAATGCTGTTCTAAAATTTTAACATTCTTTAGAAACCACTCCCAGAATACATCTGCCTCGTTCCAGAGCTCTCCTACATTACAGGCTTGACGGACACCATGAGAGCTGACAACAGAGTCATGAGAGTTAGTGAGGATGATTAATGTGTGTGTTACTCTTTTCCTGAGTGCCAAAAAATCTACATGAGTTTATTCGTTAAAATAATTTTGACTTTTTTTTCCAACTTTGCAGGAGTTGGCTTCCCACACAAGGTTGAATCCCACTCAGAGGAGGGATGCACTGAGAACCTATTGTACTAGAGTTAATGAGGTTTGTCTTCCACTCTTTCTCTTTCTCTCTCTCTCTCTTTCTCTCTCTCTTCCCTTCTCTCTCTGTCTTTCTCTTTTTTTCACTCTGTCTTTTGCTTGGCTTTTATCTCTTCATTAAAACATTTATTCATTGATAAGGTGGCTAAAATTGGGTGATTGATTTGTTGGTTGATAAATATTTGCAAAGTGTATGAAAGAATGATAAATGTAAAAATTTATTTAATGTTTAATTGATTAATTGATAAGGTAAATTGATTGAGTGATGGATTGATTGATTGATTGATTGATTGATTGATTGATATTGATTGATTGATTGATTGATTGATTGATTGATTGGTTAATTGAATTTCCAGGTGCCAGAAGCAAGAAGAGAATTGGAAAGATGGGGCTTTGAATTGGATCGAGATCTTATGCAAGTAAGTAGTGAACCACGTCTGCCATCTCATTTTATTACATTATATTATATTATATTATACTACATTTTACAATTATTCAAAAATTATTTTACAATGCAACGATATTTGTTTTTATTTATATGATTTGTATATACTCATTTCATGTACATTAATTTTAAAATGTACCATACTATCAATTTTCAATGCGTTCACCATTAAATTTTATAACAAAAAAAAAGATTCATTTTATTCAATTAACTGAATGAAATAATTGCACCATTATTAATAATTTTTATTTTTATAAAAACTATTATAATAATTATAGTTGGAGGGGAGGTTGCTACCAATAGAGACCATACGATTCAGAGGGAATGCCTCTGTGAGTGCTGGTCCGGAAGCTGATTGGTCGAGAGCTGTCACCAAGAATGAAACCATTGTGCCTGTTAGTTGTGTTCACCCATTAAATCAATCCTATATCTAATTTTACCCTCTCCTCACCACTTAAAATCATCATTCCAACTTAATTTTGAACTGACCTTCATCAATGGCCTGACCTTCATCAATGGCCCGACCTACTTTAACGACCCGGCCTACTTTAAATGACCTGACCTACTTCACTGACCTGACCTGTTGTAATGACCTGATCTAATGTAATGGAATCCCACAGGTGGACCTGAATGATTGGTTGATATTTGCGACGAAGCGCGATATGAGGTGTGCCGAAGCCTTCATGAGCATGTACAGACAGTGCAGTAGGGACATGGGCATCAGAGTGAGGGAGGGCCAACTGGTCGAACTGCCCAACGACAGGACTGAAAGTTACATGAGGGAGATCAGGAAGAATGTCAATCAAAGGGTATGAGTGCTGTGTCCTATCAACATTTAATCAACATAATCACCATCGTTTTAGTAATTATTTTTTTAATCATAATATTTTTATTATAACTATTCGAATCGATAATTATAACTTAAATTTATTAAGGTTAATAATTACAGCCAAAATAATTTTCCACCTCCCTCTCCCTGCAGACTCAACTGGTTGTGACCATCTTCCCGTTCCAGCGCGAGGACCGCTACAGCGCCATCAAGCAACTCTGCTGCCACGATATGCCCATTCCGTCGCAGGTCATCAACTCCAGGACCATCTCCGACGACCGCAAGCTGAGGAGTGTCACTCAGAAGATTGCACTCCAGATCAACTGCAAACTTGGCGGAGAGCTCTGGGCGCTCAACATTCCTGCCGTTCGTTTTGGCCTTTGTTTCTGTTTTTGCAGATTTTTATTTTGCTTGTAGAAGGTCTATCGATGAAGGGATTTTTGATTGATTCTTGCAGAAAAACTTGATGGTCTGTGGAGTGGATGTGACGCACGACCCAGCTCACCACAAGTCATCTGTCGTCGGCTTCGTCAGCAACATCAACCAGACCTGCACCAGGTAGGAATTACGAAATGGACGAATAAATGAATAATGCATGTGCACAAGAGCACAGACATACATATACACTCACGTACATAGATACATACACTCACGTACATAGGCATACAAGCGCAAATACTCACACAAACACACAGATGGTATTCGAAGGTGCGTATGCAGCAACCTGGCGAGGAAATAGTTAACGGCTTGAAGATCTGCTTCACGGATGCCCTCAGGAAATATTACGAAGTCAATCATGAGTTCCCTAGTGAGATTTATTTCAAACATTCCAAACTTTTTTGTAGTTTTTTGAACTTAAAGTTGATTGCTGAAATTTGTTCTTTCACGCATTTATTTATTTCATTCGGTTATTTATTTAAGCATTAATATTTTTTTTACCCTGATCATGGTATGTTCGTATGTGTGTGTATGTCTGTATATGTCTGCGTGCGTGTGCGCAGGTATGTTTGTATGTATGTGTACATGTATTGGTCATCCATCTGTCATTCATGACGTCACCATCTGGCAGGTCGAGTTGTCATCTACAGGGACGGTGTGGGTGACGGTCAGTTGAGTGTCGTGAGGGACTATGAGGTCAAACAGCTGATTGAATGCTTCGACAGTTTCAAGGACCTCGCGTGCAAGCCCAAGCTCGGCGTCATCGTCGTCCAGAAGAGAATTAATACTAGACTGCTTTCTTTGGAGGTTCGATTGTTTGTTTGCGTGTGTGTGTGTGTGTGTGTATGTGTGTGTGTGTTTGTTGGTACATGCGTATGTAGTGGCATAATATTATTGCATTATACTGTATCAATTGCAGAATAAACTTTTTAGAAATATTCAGGGTAGTTAATTAATTAATTAACTAATTCAGTTACTTTAGTAATTATTGCACTAACGTCTGGCAGATGAACAGGGACCAGCCAGACAACCCGAGGCCAGGAACCGTTGTAGACCACACCGTCACGAGGAACAACTGGTTGGTACAATTCAAAAAACTATTCTCACCGACAGTTCGGTTGTACCGAGTTGGAAATTCAAACTTTTTTTTTCTTCCTTTACTTTCCATAGTTTCCACTTTGGTGTACGAAAATATAATTATCCTATCTTTTCTATATCAAATTTAACTGACATTAAATCCACGCAGTAAGTAATTGAGTAAATTTCACAGAAAATTACACTGATAAAGTATTACAATATTTCAAGTAATCTTTACGTTGTTTGACCTTTAACCTCTTCCAGGTACGATTTCTTCGTAGTGAGCCAGCACATTCGCCAGGGCACGGTCTCCCCGACCCATTACGTCGTCGTCTACGACGGTCTCGACTGGAAACCCGACATAGTTCAAGCCCTGACCTACAAAATGACTCACCTGTATTACAATTGGCCGGGAACTGTCAGGGTACCTGCCCCCTGCCAGGTTTCATTGGATGTTTTTTTTTTTAGTTTTTTACTGCCGGTCTATATTTTTGTTATAGAAGATAGTATTTTATTTTATTTATTTTTTCGTTTTTCAGTTTAAATTATTCATTATTATGAAATTTAGAATTTCATTTATGTATAGTCATTGTTGATTCCATGGGCCGATATAAGCTTTATTCCATTTAATCATAAAATATGAAAGCATTGAGAAATGTATTGTTTACTTAATTTATTAGTTATATTATTCAAAAATTAACTACTAATAGATGAATTATTAATGAATTATGAATTAATTACGAATTAATTATGAATAAATTATGAATTATTTTCTTCACCCCCACAGTACGCCCATAAACTCGCCTTCCTGATTGGCCAGAACGTTAGGAAGATGCCGGACGAAAGATTAAACGACAGATTATACTATCTATAATTAGATACCTATCATATTATTATTATTTATATTATTATTATTATTATCTATTTGATGTATATCTATTTTATCAATTGATCTTATTTTTACTGCAAAGTTCGTTACGCGCTTACTGTTAATGAGAAAACCTTAACAGATATGCGTGAAAAATTAAAAAAGATATTTTAATAGCAAGAGTATTTTTTTTCTAGATTTTATCAAGGCCAACATCGTGGTTTTAAGATTCGTTTTGTTTTACACATGCATACATACGCACGCACACGTACATACACACACACGGAAACGTATTATATGCGAAAAATGACAATTTCTCGTTTGTTTTTAATCTTATTGATCTCGGTTAAGCGCTCGTATGTATGCTTATATCTGCATATCATGTGCTAGCGTATACATGTAACCCTAACTCTCTCCCTTCTCTCACTCTCTCCCCTCTCTCTCTCCCCCCTCTCTCACCCTCTCTGGGTGTTTGTGTTTTCATTCATTTTATTTTTCATTATATTTCATTTTATTCATCCCGTTGTTTTAAAAATTGTCTTAATGTTAATTAATTGATTGATTAATTAATAGATTAATTAATTGATTAATTAATCAACGTTTAATTTAAATTATATTCATCTGTTCGTTTGTTTATTTATTTATTTCTAACGGAATCACTAATGGTTATTTAATGGATTAATTTTTATATTTTAATTAATTATTTTATTTTCTGGAGATTTCTGCGTCATATTTGACTCTTGACGGTGTCGACTGACATTGAGAAGAAAACATTTTTTTTGTACTTTTTGTTTGTAGTTATTGTAGTTATTCTGATTTTTAATGCCACCAACCACCCTCGCCCTATCCTATTTTTTCTGTTATTATACACATTACAGGAAACAGAACCAGCGTGACGTCATATACATTCTGTAATTTTTACACGAAACTCCAAAGAACATTTGCATATTGATAATTATGTGTAACTGAATTATGGTTTAGCCAAACGCTTCATTGTTAAGGTCAAATTGCTATAGCTCAATTCCTATTACTAAAATTCCATGCATAATAACTCTCTCAATTGTTAAAACATACTCCGTTGTGTGCTAATTTCATTTTTACCGAACTTTAAATGATTTAATTTTACTGCTACGTAGTCACATTCAATGTCAGGTGTTTCGTTTCATTTCGTCGTTCTGATGTCATCATTATTATTATTCACCAAATGTATTCATTTTAATGAGAACCTACCATTCTGCCATACTGCTTGTTATGAAGGATTTTGTGGCTCTTACATGTAAATAATCCTTAGAAATATTAATTCTATATGTTTATGTTCATTCTTGCATTCATTCATACATACACTCATTCATACATACACTCATTCATGACTCTTAAATGTAAATAATCCGTAGAAATATCAACCAATTCTTTATGTATATGTTCATTCTTGTATTCACTCATACATGCATTCATCCAGCCATCTATCCAGCAAGTTGATGGGACAAGCTAGCTAGGGTGGTTGCTTGGGGCGTTGTTTCGAAGAGAAAATTTTCAAGTACTCATTAATTCATTCTTCTACTCACTCGATCGTTCTTTTACTCATTCGTTCATTTGATAAAAATAACTGAATTATTGGAAGATTATTGAAGTATTAAGAATTATGTTCACCATCTGATTCATATTTACGTTGACGTCACAACTGACGCTGAAGCTACAATTGCTGACAGAAATTATTTTCATTCAGTCCGTCCGTGTCTATATTGTTTATGTAATGTAATGTAATGTAATGTAATGTTAGTGTTACAGGATGTTATGTTTACGCTGTTTGTGTTATGTAATGCGTGTGTGTGTTGAATTATTTTTGTACGGCCAACGTCGGTCGGTAGACATTTTATTTTGCTGTTTGTATGTTTCAAGTTATCTACAACGCTCTCTTATTGCGTGTGTTCAATTGCGCGTGTGTGATTATGTGTGTTTCCGTGTGTGTGTATGTGTGTGTGTGTCTGCGTGTGTGTGTCTGCGTGTGTGCGCGCGTATATGGATTTGTGGGTTTTGCGTATCCCGTATGTTCATTTCATTTCTTCTGGTTGCATTTATGCTTAAGTTTTTTTTTCAATTTAGATGCATAACGTTATTTCTGCCTGTCTACTTCTTTTTTTTTGTTTCTACGTTTGCTCATTTTTAGTGTTCCTAATATGTCCGTCCCCTTACGATCCAAATGGTGGCTGAGTGTGGGAGGCGTCCTTTGGCACGTATCCATGCATTCTCGATTCCTCTGAACCGAAGTGAGAGTGTAAGAGACATTTAACTTATATGTATATATATACATTATTATATTATTATATATTATTATTATTTTGTGGTTTATATACAACACATATCAATAAATGTCAATTAATATTATTATATTATTATTATATATTATGTATATCCATGCTTTTACCTTTACTGTTTTTAAACTCTTGTGGTCACTTTTAAACAGTGTTTTTACTAACTTTTACATTTTTTCATTAAGTAAGAAGGGTCGCATTTTTAGAGGAATCGTAGAAAAAAAATATTCCCATATAGACTCATAGAGGAATTGTCACAGGCAGCATATGTGACAGTATTAATAACAGCGTCATTCCCATCACTTCTGTTCATTTTAGCATTGTTTTACAGCAATTCCATTCGTATCTATCTAACCTGGTTATAATGCTATATTAATTGATTATTTCAAGAGCCCTTACGTCTTTAACTGGGTTTCATGATGAACATTTTAATTTTCTGCTGTACACGCAACTGTATGTTTCTATGAACAGTTTGTATGTGTGTGTCTGTGTGTGTGTGTGTGTGTGTGTATGGTGTGCGTGTTATAATGAAAATCGAAAATCAATGGCATAGATCTATAGTTTGGGTTTTATTCTATGATTACGAATTTAGCAAAGTTTTTTCTACGGTGTATCTGGTGTAATTTGTATAGCGCTATCCAGACAAAATTATCAATTGTAAAATAAACCTCGACAGAGTAATTTTAAACTGGTCAATGAAATCTTTCTTAGCGAGTCGACAGTCAGATTATGACAACGTTATGTTTTAAACTAACTGATGCCTCTAGCTACCTGGCAGTTACATTTTAATTTAATTGAAATCTCTTACTACTCCAATCAGAAAGTTTGAAAATTTAGGAAATAAATTTATTAAAACGGCTACTATATACACACACATATGTACATCCATATATGTACAAACATCCATACATATAAATGTGTCTGTGTGTGTGTGTGGAGCGCGTGTGTGTGTGTAGCACATATTAATATAAGATGAGTTATTTTTTATTGATTTGCATTCTTGATGTGGGCTCAATTGTTGAATCGGTAAACAAAATATTAAATAAAATAAAAGAAATTGTGTTTAAAAGATTTGACAAGTAGAAGAGAGAGAGAAAGAGAGAGAGGAACAAAGAGAAACAGAAATACATATATTGGAGAATATGCGCAAGTATTAATAAATATAACAGTTCGTCCTGCTTTTGTTATGAGATGTTTAACAAGAGAAGGTTTAGCCAACCAACCGTGATAGTGATAATAATGATAATAATTTATTACAAATCAGAATATGAATGATGAGATAAATTTTTTTAAAAACAAAATTCTGCATATAACAATTCGTTCAATGGATAGCGACGACAATGAATTGCGATGATGGATGAATGAATGAGTGGATGAATGAATGAATTGATGAATGAATGAATAAATGAATGAATGAATCAACGAACGAATGAAAGATGATGACGCTGAGTATATGATGCCATTTTGAAAGAAAGAAAATAGAATCAATAACGACAACGAAATAATCAATAGATATCAACAATAAATTTCAGTAATAATCAAACAAAAAATTATTTCATAAAACGAAAAAAAAACATTTTTTTAATTGGGCAACATCAGAAAACGTAAAAAAATTCAACAGAGAAAAACGACGATCATTAATTATATTATTATTATTTTATTATTATTATTTTATTATTATTATTTCTATGTTTATCACCGTCACTTTGTTAAAACTATCCGGTTCAATGTTAACCTAACTTCAATAAGTTCAATGTTAACATAACTTCAATAAAATCACTATAATCATCACGTAAAAAATTCACATCATACACACACGCGCGCGCGCGCACACACACATACACAAACAAAAACAAACAAACACACACACAAACAAACACATACGACCATATAAACATACATACATACATGAATATTTATCAAATCATCAAATAGGCACTAATAAAAACACATAGCGGGTGATGTCTCTTGAAAATTGAACTGAAATAACAGAACCACATTCGTAACGTAGACGAAAAATTGTAGCTAAGAAGAACAAAATTGCAAAAAACATTTACCACACGCGCACACACATCATACACAGACATACGCACACATACAAACATACATAAACACATAGCTGCGTGTTCGTGTGTGTGTGTGTATTCTTATATACTGCTTTCTGTGATGTGAATACTTTGAAAAATCGTTGGACAGAAATAAACATTTATAGGAAATTTGTTACAAAGAAACGAACGTTAAGAACAAAAAACATACACACACAAACCGACAGACAAACACAAACACTCATTCACAAATGTATATGCGCATATATTGGCAAAAAATGGCTCCTTATATCTTTCAAGTAACATACATGTACGTACATTTACAGGAAAACGAAATACACACACACAGGAACACACGCACGTACACAAAAGCACGCACGCACACAAACACACACAGTTGAATTGAATGATTAAGATTAAGCGTTGTCATTTTGCAGTTCTCAATAATAATGAATCAATAAATTAACATTAAACAACAGAGAATTGCTAGCAATACCCAAAAATCGTAGTATTGATGCCAATAACGATACTCAATTTTCAAAGTATTTCCGCCAATCCGACGACAAAATTTTTGTATTAAAAAAATATACCGTATAAACAATTACAGAAATCGTATCGTAGCGTATCGAATCACGCATAGAAACCCGTCAATATAACTAACGCAACAGCGAAAGGTAACAAATGATTAACAAGAGAGATTGAAAGATGACATCAACAAGATATGTATGGGCGTGTGTGTAACCACACTTAATGTAATGTAATGTCATGTAATGTAAGTTGTGGTGAGTCAATTAAGAAATTGAGTAGAGATTATGGGCGCGGTTAAATAAAATAAAATATATTACATGCGTCTGTATGTGTGTGTGAGTGTGTGTGTGTGTGTGAGTAGTATGTTGTGTATACGTCTGTGTGTGTGTATGTGTTTGTGTGCAATATTTGTGTTTATGCGTGTGTGTTTCTGTTATATTTTTTTGTTTATCTTATATGTGTGTTTGTGCGTGTGTCTATGTGTGTATAATATTTGTGTATATATGTGTGTTTGCGCGTGTGTATGCAATATTTGTGCTTATATATATATATATATATATATATATATATATATATATATATATATATGTGTGTGTGTGTGTGTGTGTGTGTGTGTGTGTGTGTGTGTGGTGTGAATGATTAAATTAGTAAAAATCGAAGAGAGAAAGAAAAAGGTTTGGTCGGTGCTGAAAAAAAGATTAATAATAAAAACAAGAATAATTATAACCAATAACAATAACAAACCAACAACGCTGCAAACAACCTTTCCAACTAAGGAACTATGTTTGAATATGTAATACTGATGATGACGATGAAGAAGAAGATGATGATGATGATGATGAAGAGTAATAAGATGATGATGCTGCTGAAGGTAATAATGATGATGATGATGATGATGATGAAGATGATGAGCATGACAGCGATACTTAGCGGTACGTAGTTTGGTTTTTTGTAATTTTCCTTAACAAAAAATTCTTAATAAAATAATTTAAACGACAGAGATTAAACAACCAATAAATAAAAATATAAATGGATAAATAAATTGTTTAATTAATCAATCGATTAATTAATTAATTAATTAATCAATCAATTATTCAATCAATCAATCAACTAACCAACCAACCAACCAGCCAATCAATCAATTAATTAATCAATTGAATAATTGCTTAATTCATTAATTGATTGATTAATTATTCAATTAATCAATCAATTACTAAACTCCCTAAAAGAATCTCTAAAAACTACTACTAAGAAGCTGCGTTCAGTAGTCTCTTGTTCCTCTCCCATGACCATATCTGTAGAGGAGATGCAACGCACGGCTCCATCACCAGGTTCGAATGCGAGCTGGACAGCGTAAGGCATTTGCCGGTGATGACGTGTACAATTAAGCCATCCTGGGGTGGTAGTTATATTATTACTAATTATTATTTATTATTATTATTGCTAATAATTATTATTATTATTATTGCTAATTATTATTATTATTATTATTATTATTGCTAATAATTATTATTATAGCTAATACTTTTATTAGTATGTGTTATATTTAGTATATTTCAGTTACTTATCAAATCGTCTCATTAAAAATGTAATCAATGAATCAATTAATTAATTAATTTATTATTAATTAATAAATTAATTAATTGATTCATTTACTTATAATGCAAACTAAAAAACCTAATGCAATCTAAACGCACGAGCCAAATAGAATAGCAAATGCAATGAAACGAGCAGACACTCAAAACATTTTGTAAGGAAAACCCGACGCGCGTATTCACATGCGCCGTGTGTGTCTGTCGTTGAATACTCTGCAGGCTGAAGGTCGAACAGGGGAGTTTGGCCTCTAACCTTTAACCTTTGACCTTTTTTAAGTAACCTTTGACCTTTCTAGCAAGTGCAATACCCAATACAAGATAGAAAACCGAATACCTTCGTGTAGGACCACTCCTGATTGCCCTTCATTCCGTGGCAGGGGTACACACGTACTCCATTGCTGGCGTAATCTAGACACGCCCCGTCATTCTCGTCCGTGTATATTTCGTTCCTCTTTGTTAGGTACCATTCCTGAAGACGATGACGAATGACGATGCGGTGGTGATGTAGTGTGGTGGTGGTGGTGACGATGATGATATGAGGAAGATGTGTAAGTATGTGTGTGTGTGCGAGTGTGTAAGTGTGTGTTTGATAGATACTTTTGAACTTCAACTTTTAACCTTTTAAATAAAAATAATAACATCTATAATAATTTACATGGAAATATTATTATTATTATTATACGTAGTAGTAGTAGTAGTAGTAGTAGTAGTAGTAGTAGTAGTAGTAGTAGTAGTAGAAGTATTAGTAGTAGTAGTAGTAGTAGTAGTAGTAGTAGTAGTAGTAGTAGTAGTAGTAGTAGTAGTAGTAGTAGTAGTAGTAGTAGGTCAAAGTGGTAAGTAATCTCAATACAACCTGACTAACAGTATGAGGCCTATAGGCTTTGCACGATTTTGGGAAGACTTCCGTGTTGTCCGATGCCTTTGTGAATGAGGCTTTCAGACATAGCTTGTGCTCGGCTGACGATATCTGGGTCAAAATCATTCATTCGTTCGTTCGTTCGTTCATTCATTCATTCGTTCGCTTACTCATTCATTCTTCATTCATTCATTCTTTCATTCATTCTTTCATTCATTCTTTCATTCATTCATTCATTCATTCATTCATTCATTCATTCATTCATTCATTCATTCATTCATTCATTCCCATGTTTACTTCATTCATCACGTTAAAAATCCATCCACTGCTCATTAAAATAAGAAAAAATAGAAAAAAAACGAATGTGTGAAAAAGTGCAAGAATAAACGAATGAAAAATTAAAGAATAAGAAAACAAAAAACCCACAGGCCCCATGGCCAGGCAGTCGGTAGGGACGAATTGATCGGGGTATACATTGTCCAGGTACCATTTGAAGGACTTGCACTGGAGTTTCTCTCGCAGGGCCACCCTGCCCGAGATGTCGCCATAGCTGCCCTGGCGTAGTTTTTCAAAATCACATCTCAATAAGTAGTTCTACTGGATCCAGAATTGCTACTACTATCATTAATGATGGTGTTACAAAATTGAAACAACGTGGAAAGCACGATGGTGTAGTGGTTAAGATGCCTGGCATTGACGTTGCAGTGAGGCCGAGTTCGAAAACAAAGAGATACTGTCGAGAAGTTACAGAGAAAAAAAACTACAAAAACTACGAAACCAGAAACGCACGAGATGTGTGGAAGTCTTCTTGAAGTAGAGGTCCTTGTAATCGTCCATCCAGACGAGGGCAGTCCTCACAGAATTCCTCCTCAGGGCATCGCCAACTGTCCACGAATAAGGACTTCTCTTTCGAAACACGTGACCCACGTGGGAGCACTGGATGATTTCAAGACTACCTCCACACATCCAGATCTTTGGTAGGGCGTGACGTCATGATTACAGGGTTATGATAAACTAGCCAACCAACCAACCAACCAATCAAACTAACCAACCAATCAAACCAACCAACCAATCAATCAGCCAACCAACCAGCTAACCCTGAAAGACATTTCAAGATTCTCCCCTCCCCACACCTCCATGCCAGAATCGTACCGACCAATGTGCTCAAAGTACTTCCTACTGATTGCAAACAACCCACCTGCCATTGTTGGACTCCTATGTGTGTGTACGTGTGTGTGCGTGTGTGTGCGCGTGTGTAACAGTTATATTACACGTGTGAATGTGCGTCTATGTGTTTGGGTGCAGGTCAGTAATATGTACAACCGTTCAGTGTAATTTTACCAGCAAAATCAACACTAAAAAACTATTACGACAGCAAAACAAATCCAACTTGAGAGGTTCGATATCATTCTTCCTCTTCAGAGCTACCTCAGAAGGGATGGCGTGCCAGGTAAACTGCAGGCCCCAGTCGAACCCCCCTAAGTTGGTGCTACTGGCAGACCCGTACAGGTACTGGAAGGTGTTCTCGTCGATGACGTCAATGACAGGGGTGACGACGTTTGATTCGTTCGCTTGGATCCGTTGCAATAGGGGCTCTAGCCAGCCTACGTGTGGGTGGTGGGTGGAAATTAAAAAGTGGGCAACCCCGTCGTCATCATCACCATAACCATCACCGGCATAATCACCTTCTTCATCATCACCATCATACCATCATCGTCATCATCACCATCATACCATCATCATCATCACCATCATCATCATCATACCACCACCACCATCATCATTATACCATCATCACCATCACCATCATATCATCATCATACCATCATCATCATCAGAACTGACCCTTGGTACATTCGCAATGTGAATCAAGGAATGTCAGAACATCCCCAGTGGCTACAGCAGCCCCCAGCAGCCTGGCTCTTATCAGGCCTATTATCAGTTTACAATGTTTAAAAGTATAATAATGAAAATAACATTAATTATGAGTGTGTTTGCATGTGTGTGTGTGTCATTGTTGTTATCACCATCATCGTCGTCATCATCACCATCATCGTCATCATCATCGTCATCATCACCTTCTCTGGCCGGAGCTCTTAATATTTTGACCTTCCCTAATTTAGCCATGTACTGATCCAACTGGGCCTTCAAGTGGTCTGATAAAAAATGACGTCACCATCATCATCATCATTATTATCATGGTTGTGGACATTATTGTCATAGTTATCGTATAATCGTCATAAGATTTATCACTATCACCATCATGTTAATCAAACATTGGATACACAATCATCCTCCCCTCATTAATACTGATACCCTCTCAATTAATTATCAGAGGTATTTCAGCAGCACACACACACACGCACGCACGTGAATGAATGAATGAATACTATTATTACTATTAAGCTTGTTTGAGTAAAGATTGGTTGAAAAATTGAAAAAATGTTGAAAAAGAAAAATTTTTTTTTCTAAACATTTTTAGATGTGGTGCAATTTTTTATAATGCAATCAGAGAACTTCAAGTTATCATCATCATCCTCATCATCATCATCAGCTATCATCATCGTCATCATCATCTTACAAAAAATGTAGCTATATCTAATGTTTATCATGACCCTTATTTACAATCATTATCAACAACACCATCATCACCTGTCGTCATCATCATCATCCTCATAATCACCACCATTATTACCATCATCCTCACAGCCTATCAAACAAACAGACGAACAAACGAACGAACGAACGAACAAACGAACGAACGAACAAACAAACGAGCAAACTGGCAGACCTCTGTCAGAGAAATCATCAACCAATATAATCTCCTTAATCAGGTGGGGTGGTGAACGATCGAGAACACTGTGAACGGTCCTCAGAAGAACCTTCCAATCTTCATTGTGAAAGATTATAATGACTGAGGTACTTAAATGCACCTCTCTGTAGTCTTCTCTTCTGCATCTTGTATATATATATATATATATATATATATATATATATATATATATATCATGTCATATTGTGATAATTATGGTGATAATGATGGTTTGATCTTAATTATTATTGTGATAATAATGGTTAAAAATGATATAATGATGATGATAATGATGATGAAAGTACTGATGATGATGATTAAAATACTGATGATGATGATAAAAGTACTGATGATGATGATGATGAAAGTACTGATGATAATAACTAACAGCTGATCTCTGACGTCTTTAAGAGATCTATGCAGAGATATCTTATCGCTGGCAAATCCATTGAATGCGTTTTGCTGCCAGGCAATTTTTGACTTCATCTTGTCGTTCTCACTCAGCTCTGCCTCAACTATGTTCACTGGCTCTCCCATCTCACCTGGAATTATTTTGCAGGTAAAATTATTAATTTATTTTTCACTAAAATTTAATGAAAATATGAAAAATAAATACAAAATGCCGAAAATGCCCATTAGCGCCCAGTGATCTATTTATAGATCACTGTGTAAATCCCTAAAATTTGTTTATGTTATAAATCTGCCGCCAATTTATTTTTTAAAAAATAGTGCAGTGTAAAGCGCGTTTGTTATAGCAGTAATTTTTTTTGTGTGTTGGGATATTTTGCTCAACATAGTTTTATTATAGACAATTTTTCATGAAATAATTCCTAAAATTAATTCTTGAATAAAATTAAAATACAAGGAAGTGAGTTACTCATATTTTAAATTTATATCTATAAACTATCAATAAAAATATTTGTTGGTATCACATTATTGTGTCAAGCTAATGTCATTTTTGCCACCCTAATTTAAACAGTGATCTATAAATAGATCACCGGTCGTTTGAGTGAACATTTCATGCAATTTTCATTAAACAATATTTTATATGATGGAGTAATAATTCAAAGAGATAACAATGATAATCTGATAATATAACTAATAATATAACTAATAATCTGATAATATAACTAAAGTTAAAATATAATATTATAATAATAACTTGTTTCAGGAATAAAAATGAGCAAAAACTACATATTCAAAAATTTAGAAGAGGCTGTAGATTATTTGTATTCTGAACAAATAGAGGCAGATATTTTAGCACTTCCTCCAGATCTTGATGAATTAACTGATGAAGAAATACTTAACGATGAGGAAACTGGTGTCCCTACTGTGACGGATCTTGCTGGTTATGTTGAGGTACAAACAATAAAGGATAGTGAGGGCGACAGCGAAGATGAAGATAATGAAGATAGATTGTGTTCAACAAAAAAAAAACTGAAAATAGAAAAGCCGCAAAAGCTTATTAGCAAATGGGTTAAAACTGACCCTAAATATAATAACAGTGTGCCAGGAAAAACCTTTTTAGAAAAAGAAGATCATTTGAAAAGTTGTTTAAAAACGTCTACTCCGGTGGATCTATTTGAACAATTTTTTGACAACGACTTATATGAAATGATGGTAGAAGAAACCAACAGATATGCTGGAGCTCAAAAAAACAAACATGGATGGACAATCCATATAGATGATTTAAAGATTTTTATTGGGTTCCTTATATACAGTGGCTACCATACATTGCCCTCTGAAAGAGATTACTGGTCAGATGAAGAAGGCTTGGGGCAAGCAATTGTAAGGAATGCTTTGAGTAGGAATACCTTTTTAGAAATAAAATCATGCATTCACTTTGTCGATAACACTAAGGCTAAAGATAACAAAAATGATAAATATTTCAAGATAAGATCCTTATTTGAAAAGGTAAACACAAATTTTCATAGATTTGGAATTTTTCAAGAAAATTTATCTATTGATGAAATGATTGTGAGATATTATGGTCGCCACTCATTGAAACAATTTATAAAATCTAAGCCAATTCGATTTGGTTACAAACTCTGGGCAATGTGCGGCGAAGATGGATATTGTTTTTCATTTTCTCTGTATGCTGGAAAAGAGAATAAGGAGAATAACGAAAACAAAGAACCATTGGGAACTAGAGTAGTTTCGGAAATGTTGTCAATAGTTGAAAATCCGGAAAGTTATTGTGTTTATTTTGATAATTTTTTTAGTAGTCATGCCTTATTTCATAAATTAAAAGTAATGAAATTTCGAGCCACAGGTACAATAAGAGAAAATCGAACTGGAAAATGTCCTGTTCAAGCAACCAAACAATTGGAAAAAATGCCTCGTGGATCATATGACCATAGATTTGACACTGAAAATGAAATATTACTCGTCAAATGGAAAGACAATAGATGTGTGTCAATTGCTACAAATTATGATCATATTGAATCACTAGCAACAGTCAAAAGATGGAATGGAAAAGAAAAAGCTCGTTTGCCAGTTCCCCAACCAAGACTCATTTATAATTACAATCAGCACATGGGAGGAGTAGATCATCATGACTGGCTTGTTGAGAAGCATAACATTGCAATTCGAGGAAAAAAACGGTATTGGTGTTTGTTCACTAGAATCATAGATATGTCAGTGATAAATGCTTTTCTGTTGTACCGAAGAATCCATGGGAAAAAATCTATAACGTTAAAAGGTTTTAGACGGGAAATTGCCATTAATTATTTGAAAATCGGACATGGAAAAAGTATTTTAAAGGGTAGACCCCTTAGTTTTCCTTCAACTTCTAAGACGCATGTGCCAGACAATGTTAGACTTGACGAAAAAGGTCATTTTCTGGATAAACAAACTAACCAAAGACGATGCCAATATCCTACTTGCAAAAGTCGTCCTTTAACCTATTGCACTAAATGCAATGTCACACTTTGTACGGAATGCTTCTTGAAATATCATAGAAAAAATTAAAGAAAATTTTTTTAAATTTAGGTTACTCATCTGCCCAGCGATCTATTTATAGATCACCTTTTTTTGAACAAACTATCTTCAAATAAATTTTGAACAAATTTTTTTTAGTAAATTTGAACTATAATAATCTGTAAATTTTGTTGTTTTGTTTGTTTTGAAAAAAAAAATTAATTTGGCGTTAATGGGTTAAAAAGTTGGCACTACTACAAGTTTGAACTTTTAACATTCCAATTAAATGTAAAGCGCATGTACAATTTTTCTACAAAAATAATCTAAAATAAGTGATGATAATTTACCAGATGTGTGATTAAAATGTATAGCTCAGGTGGTAAGTGTTGCTTGTATCTTGTGCAGTAATAAATTGAACGTGTTCAAATGCATGACGAGGAGATGATTTAGAAGATAAAACTAGGTACACTGGATGTATTGAAAATTTTAATATTATAGAAAATTTAACAAAATAAAATGATCATGGATAATAAGGGTATAATAATATAATATGAGTGATAACAACATCTATGATCTCATAGAGATGATTGATTATACAGAAATAAATATATTATATAATTATTTATAATAATATATTATAATAATATTAATCTATTGAAAAATTTGTACCTGGTGCACCAACAAATTGGGGCATTTCAGAAAACTCCTCCAAATTCCACTTTGGCACAATTAGGCCTTCCTGAATTAATGTCCTCGTCTTCTCATCTAGACTGGCAGCGTATCGACTCATATCAAATTTAGGTGTGATTTGAAACTTGTGATGTGGGTTATTGGATTTATTTTTCAATCTTTTCATCAGTTCTTGGCCGGCGTTAAATTGATCTCTCAAAACTTTATCTCTAGGCCCTAACTGACTAATTGATGGGATAAGAAGAGAGGATAGCCGCTGATTGAAAAAATTAAACGTTTGGCGATTTTTGAAATTCGTGAACAGATCTGTATCCGGAATTTGATCCAGGGTGTCTGCGAAGCTTTCCTGATTTGCGAGAATCGTCATGTCGTCCGTTCCATTCCTGTCCTTGTTGAAGAGGAAATAACTCAGGAACCAAATAGTCGTTATAATTATTAAAATTTTTATAATCGTTCTTCGTTGTCGTCTCATTTCTCATTGACGTGAGATTTAATTTTTTAAAAATCAACTCGTTTTATATATTATATTAAATAGCAACAATCTTTTAAATAAATTTTAAAAATATTTGTTTTCTCGTTAAATTCACTTTTAAAAGTTAAACGTAGAATGGAAGGTTAAAAACATTTATGAGCTGAGAAATGTTAATTTGCCTTAGGACAAAATAAGACGCAAAATAAGATTTAGTAAGCAATTCGACAATGAATTAATTTATGAATAGACCTAAAAAGAATGTTTCTACAATAAAATTGCAACGTATGCCTGTGCAAACACACGATCCTACAATATGAACATGTGTGATCTGCTTGATTGAAACCCACCCAAATTAGCAGGTAGTCGTGAGGAAAGGTAATTCCAAAGAAATTAAATGCAAAAAACAAAGTTGGATTTTTTTTTTGAAACGTTCAACAGTGATAAAGTTTAGTATAGGAAAAAAACGCAACCGATAAATCAGTGATTTATACAAAGCAACTTCTCTATCATTGTTCAAAGACATGAGGACGACAAATTATTACATAAACGGTATATGCTCAGCACACGCAAAACTTCAGCATATGATAGAAATACCATCGCATTGGAAACATTTACAGAAACATGTATAGATCTTTTTTTTAAATGTATAGTTAATTCAGTTTAAAGTTAAACGTAGAATGGAAGGTTAAAAACATTTATAAGCTGAGAAATGTTAATTTGCCTTAGGACAAAATAAGACAGTTTAATTCAGTTTATTTATAAAGTATGTACATAAGTACCTTGCAGTTCAATCTAAAGTGCCCTACCAACGATGAAATATGGAAAAACAAAAAAAACAACACAATGAATGTAACAATTTTCATAAAACATAATCAACGCTGGTCAGGTTTCAGGATAGAATGGTAAACTTTTAACAAACTCATCCAGTTTTGAATTAAATAATTCGCTTTTAATTGGTTGGTCCTGATCACAGATTGGGTTCTTAACGACGTATTCTACAAAAACCTGAAACAGATAAACATTTAGTCAATGTTATTGAGTTTAAACTAGATAAAATATCAAGCCTGACTTAACAAACATGAAAATACAACAAATCTACCTGACTATAGAGCTGATGTAATGTGTCCTTTATATTGCCAACACTGAAATCAGTATTGAGAATAATCTTCAGGCCGCTAGGAGTTTCATAGAAGTTCAACTTGTACTGACTTGTCCTGTAACTGCTCAAGCCTTGGATTCTAATTAATTTTAAAAATTAGACAGTTCATTAATTTTTAATAATGTGACGTGTCAAGTCAGCAAAAATAAGAGAAAACCCAACCAATCTATTAACAACTATTTTAAAATTGAATTTTCAAATATATATATATATATATATATATATATATATATATATATTTATTTATTTACATTTACTAATGTAAATGTAAATCCCACCCACAACAATCTGACAGTTTAGAATTATAACATATTACAATTGAAAATAAAATAAATAAACTTTACAGATAAAAAACAATACAAGAAATGGAAAATAAAGAAAAAATTTAAAAAATTAATAAAAAATTTCTTACTGATCAGTAGGAGACAGTCTGCTAACAAATGACTTCAATGAAAACAACATGCCAAACATCAACTTGAATTCCTAAAAAAGTTCAATAAATGTGGTATAAAAAAAGTAAATTTATTAGTACTTAGTAGTATTATAAATTATATTAATATATATTATATTAATATAATAATTATTGTTATATAAAATAAACAAATATAAAAGTGCATAACAACTGCACATATGACATATGAGCATAGATATAGAATAGATACTAAACTATCACTATTATATACAACACATGTCATATATATATATATAATATAGATTTATAAAATTATAGAATAATGAATAAGTGAAATTTTAAAACTTGTAATTAACAAAAATCATAATAGTGGAATAGTTAACTAACCTCTTCCTGCGACATTCCGGATCGCTTTTTCCGGTTCCACTCATGATAATAGAGACAGGTGCCGGCACGGTTGAAGATGTAGATGTTGTATATCGTCATTTTATTGTCCGAGGCGGTTGACAGCGACACCCTTTTTTATTTGTATCTGTTTACAATATTATATTTAAAAGTGAAATCTATAACTATAATGGAAATCCAAAACAATCGAGCTAATATTTCAATACGATCCTCTAGAAACTTCATTCAAATTAAACTAATAAAGGGAATAATTAAAATGATAAAATTATTTTATGCAAAAAATACACAATTTGGTAGTTTTTACGTTACATTAAGATAAAAAGGACGAAAACAATGGCAGCTATGCTGATAAATTTTACTTTATAGAACGTTCATTATATTCTTAAAATACATCCTTTATAACTTTCAATTTTCAAATTTTTCACAAACTTGTACATGACAAGGACCTCTGTGCTTTCCAGGTCAAAATTTTAGTATTATGCACACAGCTCTTCTTATCGGTCAGGCGTGTATGCACCTGCCATTGATTTATATGACAAAAGGTGCGTAAGTTGTTATGGCCTGTTAGGAGAGGATGCTTATTAAGAAGTATCATTTCTACAAAATAATCAGTAAAGCTATCGTATTCATCATCGTATTTCTCGTTCTATCTGCATTCTTCTTGTCATTTTTGATCGTCAAACAGGTGCTCTGCAATATTTTTGTGTCGATTTGTTTTGCGAAGAGTTTTTAAAAGTTTGAAACTCGAGCCTGGTTTTCGTTTTAAATATAAAAGTAATAGCAAAATACGTTTGTTTAAAATGACAAAATAAATGACAAAATAACTCTTTCCAGATTTTACTAGGCAAAAATGAAATACACCAAGAAACAGTCAGCAAAATTAAAAGAACATTACGCAGCAAGAAATACAACAGAACAAAAGTTGAATACGAGTCGGACTTGTCAAATTACGTCAACTCAAGTTTTCAAAATGAAAATCTGTACAGCAACTCCATAACCCTAGTAACTGCTTATTTCAATTTGGGCTCCTTTCAGAAAGGAGATCAAGAAGTCTACACACCTGGTCAGTATTCGAAGTAGTCACCTATGAAAAGCTATCGTCAATTAGCAAATTTTAAATGTAACTCATATGTTTATTATACCATTAAAGATTCATTTTCAAAGACATTGTTCATTTGTTTTTAAGTTATGTATGCTTTTTCTTTCACAGAACTGTACAAAAAATGGATGAGAACATTTTACAGCATAAGGAACCCTGTGGTGTTTTATTCAGATTCTCAGGAGATTTGTGATTACTTCAGGACATTAAGGCAGCATCTACCAAAATTTAAAACAAAAATTATTCTTAAAGAGAGAAGTTCCCTTTGGGCATTCAGCATTGAAAAAGAAACAGAAGAAATTTTCAAACAAGTGGGCTATCCAAAGCACTATCCCAACACAGTTGTACCAGCATATTCATGCTCCATGCATGCCAAATATGAGCTGCTGAGAGAAACAATCATAACGAATCCATTTAAGACCAAATATATTGCTTGGATTGACGTTGGATTATTCAGAAATCTGGCACAGGATAAGAATCCCATTGCCAATCCTAAAAAATTGAAAATGTTTGGCCTGAAACTGCCTCCAGATTTTAATGAAGAGAACATTGGCTATACGGAAGTCCACAGAAGAAATGATGATTTGTTGCCTGTCGATATCGTATACATCAATCTGGTCTGGGTGTGTGGCTGTTTCTTTCTGGGCAGGATGGACGTCATGTTCAGGTGGTGGGCTCACTCAAATTTCATGACATCACTAACTCAATTCATTACATCATGACACACATTTGACATCAGTCAGGACATGACTCATCTGACACTGATCACATGCCATTTAAACATTCAGATGGACAGCTGAGTACATGGAGGGTGTGGAGTGGTTGTTGAGGAAGAGGTTGATGAACACTGACCAACAAATCATCTACGTACTGGCTAACTCCAAGCTAATCAAAACACAAATCCAAACGTACAAAGACTTTCAAGGACACTCATGGTTTTATTTAGGTTACTTGTGTAAAGAAACATGGCTCAAGGATAAAACATTTGAAAATTTAGTGAAAAATTTAAATTAAATTAAAATTTGATTTTGAAATCTACCAAAAATCATTTGCTATTGCTTAATAAAAAAATCATAAGACCATAGCAAAAAAATAATTGTTGTAAATTAGTATTTTTTTAATAAATCATCTCCTAAAAAGTTAATGCGCCTCTGGCTGCCTCAGGTTTATGACAATTTCAGATCTCTTTGATTCAAATTGCCTGAATATGAATAACAGTTGCTCAATCATAACATACTGGATGTAATAATTTAAAACATAATTCATTCACACCATTTATAAAAATGGCTGTTAATTCAATGGTAATTTTAAAGACAAAAAACAATATAAAGTCAACGACTTAAAAAAAGAAGTCACACCTATATGAAATTCCTGCCAAGTTGAACATTCTCTTAGAAGCCAGGATGGATTTTTTGTTCTTATTCTCATCTGATAGGTAAACAATTTGCCTGATCCCCGACTGAATGATGAGTTTTGCGCACTCATTGCAAGGGAAGAGAGCAGTGTAGATTGTGCAGTCTTTGACGTCGTACGTGTTTTTGTTCATTATGGCGTTCATTTCGGCATGACAGACTGCATGCAAGATTTTAAAACAGGTGAACATCATTATATGGACATAGCCCTAAATAGCACCTAATTTTTGAGCAAATTGAAATTTAATTTATGTATCTATTCGACTATTCCATTAAAAAACCATTCATTCATTCAAAATTAAAATCATTTGCCATAATTATATATTCTAGATTAGGTTGTGGGTCAGGTGAATAGCATTAATCTACTGACCATAAGCAAATTTGTTGTCCAACTCATCTGCTTGATTTTTGACCCAGGGCAGTTCATCGTCGCTACAGCCATTGGGCATGCCATTGTAACCTATCCCAACTATCTTCTTGTCTTCACTGACTATGCAGGCACCCACCTTGAGAAATAAATTATACCTGATTAGACGTTATCTAGCAAATGAAAATATACCAAAAAGATTAATCATAAATGTTCATTAATTTAAATTTCATTTCAAATTTTATTTATTTTACCAAATAAAAATACAATTTCGTTCGGAGGCTAAGTAAGAAAAAATATGTATTTTTAATTATAATAATGCATATTTAAATTTATTAATTAACATTGACAGTGTGAAATTAATTATTAAATTTAAAATAAGAACTTGTTTTGCGGGGTCTTTACTTCTCTGGGCTGACAGAATTGCAACTGCCATGAAGTAGTCCTCCCACTCCAAATAATCATTTCTTTTGCCAGTCTGACTATTTCTGGATGATTCATTTATTTTTATTCTAACATTTTAAAATTTAATTAAATTATTAATTTAACCAAATAAAATTAAGTTATTTTTATTTAACAATTAAATAAAAAAACTTTTTAAAAATCAAGTCTGCATCAAAGACTGAGATTAGAATATTATTATGAAAAATTTTAAAACCAACCCATTGTTAAATAAAACTTCTTCATTGTTCAAACTTAGATTTTCCATTCTAGATCAAGATCAGAGACACTTTATGACTTTATGTTGCAAATATAATAAATTATTTAAATTAAATTTAAATTAAATTTTCTTAATCCTTTCAACTATTCAACTTAATTTAGTTTTAGTTAGACTTAGAGACTCTTACTGTTAATTAAACTGACAATCAACGAAAAATAGTTAAAAAAAAATGTAGATCGCAACTGAAACTGTCTAACTTTACGAATTAAAAAAAAATCGCATGCATTTAATTTATTTTAAAACTATTTGACATAATTTTTTTAAATCAAACTAACACACGAACACAACTTTTTGCTGGCACGATTTTGATTACTTTTGGAAAAACAGGAACTAAAATTGAATTTCCATAATGATTATTTAAAAATAAACTTAAATACTCATCAACAGACTTACCAAGAAAAGATTTATGAACCGACCCGTTAACTTCGTTACTTAAACTTAGATTTTTAATTGATTGATTGATTTATGAGTTTAAACATAGGTAAGTAATCATGAATTTAAACATAGGTAAGTAAGATTTGAGTCTGATATACAAGCTGAGGCCTTGACATACATGGGTGGGCTTACGCTAGAAACTGAACACAGTTTATTACATAGATAGACTATGGCATAAGTTTATTACACGGGTAGGTAGGGACTTCTATTCTTCAACCCCACATGGTGGTGTGTTTTTCGTTTTGTATTTTTTTGGTATGTTTTGTTTCACTCCATACATTCTGCATGCAGTGTTGCACGATATTGTTGATTGGTACACGATTATACGTTCATTCATTCATTCATTTATTCATTCATTCATTCATTCACCCAATCAATCAATCGATCGTTCTTTCGTCTTAACATCCGATCAATCAATCATTCATTCATTCCTTCATCTTAACATTCATTTACTTTTAAGCTAATGAAAAATTTTGTCTACAGAATGGTCAGAGTTGGGCTGTGGTGAAGTTTCAAAGAAGCCCGTGGTCGGTGCGTCTCAAATGATGGTCGGTGCAATGGAGGGCAATTTGTAGTGAAGAAATTTTTGAGTTAATCTTGATGATTACAAAAAGTCATTAAAATTACACAAATACTGATTTGAAATAATAATCCCAATCATTTATTCTGAAACGATTTGAAGTCAAAATCAAAAACAACAATGAGTGAATTAATGAATTAATGGTTTAAAATCATTTTTATTGAAATCTTACCCGACACCTAATGAAAATTTTCGCTCATAACTTTCTGAAAAAGTGGAGAGAGAATGACTTTTAACCTTTTATCCTAGTATTTGAGCGGTATGTTTAATTTTTCTTACAGAAATAACTAATTTTATTTTGTTAAATATCATTATTATTAAAAACACAAACCGGTGTAGGTCGAGTATGATGTTGGTAAAAGATTTCTTTTAAAAATTAATAACATAACATATTTATTAATGATTACTAACACACACGCACGCACACAGACACACACACATACAAATACACACGCACACACACACATTTTTCACATAGAAAACAAATTCAACCGGTGTGCATATAGAAATGTATAAATGATGATGGAATGAGTCAGGTGATGACGATAATGATGAAGAAGAAAATTAACAGCGAAAAACTTGCAAAAAAAATAGATGATCAATAATAACATTTATTAATAACAAAAATGCGATATCACCACTATCATCATCATCATCGTCATCATCATCAAAAACAATCGTCACCATCGCAAGAACATCAAACGTTTTCTTAATCAACATTATCATCACTATCGTCATCATAAAAACGTCATCACTGACGTCATAATCATTAACATCGTCGTCATCGTCATCATCTTCATCGGAAAACACAATCATAATCAGCATACGTCATCATCTAAAAATCTGATTATCATTTTATCATCATTTTTGAATTTTTCATCATCATTAACCTTTATTCAACATATGTAAAGGCACATGTATGTATGTATATATGAAATAGAACGTCCAAGCAACCAACGAAAAAGATATTATAAAACTACGAATATGCTACTCCAACCGAAGAACGCATTTCTCGCGATGAGAAATAACTGCACTAGTAATCAGCTATCGATAATAATGGATCATAGCCATCTAATATATTCGTTCAAATGTAATGTTGGCACCATAATTCTGAATATATTGGCCATAATTCTGAATATATTGGTATGACGACGACCAAGTTATCAAGAAGACTCACGGTGCACGTACAAACTGGCGTTATAAACAGTCATATGAAAGAGAAACACAAAACTAAAATTACTAGACAAATCTTGGACAACAATGTTGAAATCTTACATTACAATAACAGCCATTATAATTTACGACTAGCCGAATCAATACTCATAGAATGGAGAGAAACCGATAATAAATATTCAACAACGGGCAATTGGAATCCTTCCCACTGGTAAATTTAACTTTATAAATTTTTAAATTTAGTTTAAATTAAACTTGAAAATGATTTACGATCTACCGTTAGAAAAATTGAAAAATTAAAAAGAAAGCTAACTAACGCCGAACATGCTGTGATTTTCATCCACAAATGTATATGTATATGGATAAAGACTGTCAGAAATGCAATTATTGATGGAAATCACAGCATGTTCAGCGTAGTTGAATGAACAGAGAAAGAATACTGACAAACGAAATAGGTGTGAACCACACACGTACTACACACATACACACTTACACCACGTACACACGCACACGTACACACGCACACGTATACCACATATGGCAATAAAGTTAAATAGTGCTTAACATGGAATGTGAAAAAAACAGCTCAAAACATCAAAAATACCGAAAAAAGAATCGCGAATTTTTCATATAATAGTTTTTATTTAAATACAATAAAGTTTAGTATATCGGAATGATAAGAAAAACAATCATACAGAAAAAATTAGTTTCGAAATGAAAATTGTGAATTTTATAAAGCAAACAGCTGATCGGAAAAACGCATTTTTGAGAATATAAAAAAAACGCTGATAATTGAAGCCAGAGTAAATGTTTTTATTTTACTCAAAAAAATTGTAAATTCACACGTCATGAATAAATAAATAATAAAAATAAATAGATTAATAAATATATTAATAAATAAATACATAAATAAATACATAAATAAACAAATAGAAAAATAAATAACGAAAAAACAACTAGCAAATCAGCAAGTTATCAAAAAAGATATATGTTACATATATGATCCGCTGATAATATGCATAAAACTTCAAAGTAATTTATCTGCAGTCAAACCCAGGTAAAAATAAAATTAAAAAATTAAATTAAAATAAGAAGCCATCTTTTTTTCATTCATTTTGCCGTCTGCCTAGCACTTTTCTTATTAACACTCATGATGTACTGTCTATGTAAACAAGCATTGTGGTAGGATTTGGAAAGAATCACGTGATTCTTGTCATCATTACCATCATCATCATCCTTATTATTGTTATTATTAATATTAATAATATTATTAATGTTATTATTATTATTATTATTAAAACCGTATGGTTTACTGTCATGATTTTTACTGATTTTGGTGGCTTCATTAAATTTTGTGTCGTTGTTGAAATTGTTGGTGCTGAAGAATCTTTTATTATTGTTGTTATTATTGTTGTTGTTGTAGTTTGCGAGTTTGTTGTTGTTGTTACCATTATTTTTGTTGTTGTTGAGTTTGTTGTAACTTTGCGATAAATAGAGGCCAAGTTGTATTCCTAATTTTGTTTTCCGCCTGCTTGTAATTTGGCGGGGAAATGGGTTGAATAGTTTTGTCGTCTGACTGCTGTTGTTAATGCAGTTGCTGGTGTTGTTGTATGTATTCTCATCACTGTATTTACTGCTGCCATTGTTGTTGTTGCTGTTGATGTTTTTGTTACTACTGTGGCTGATGTTAACTCTTATGTCAGTGTTTTTGTTGTTATTGTTGTTGTTGGTGGTGGTGCCATTGTTAACGTTTAATGTCTTGCCATGTGATAACAAAGGATGGCAACTTATTGTGCTGGCCTCAATGGCAGATGTTGAAAAATTTCGTTCTTTTATAGATATCACAGGCTTTTTGTTATTATTATTAATTAAGTTATTGTCATCGGCGTTAATGGTTTTGTTGTTATAATAACTGTTGTTACTGTCATCAGTGCTGAAAGATCTGTCGAAAGATTTAGTAGGGATGTGATTGATGTTGTTGTTGTTGTTGGTGTTGTAGTTGATGTCATTTAGACGCTGTCTGTAGTTTGAAGACTTCCTCTCGGCATCTGACTCATCCGGAAGTGATTCTATGAACTCCATGAATGACATGTTGCTATTGCTGTCGTCCTTTTTGTTTGCATCTATGGTATCAAAGTTGATAGTATCAATGTTGATAGTATCATTGTCATAATTATCGTTAACATCCTTATTATTCTCATTACTATCGTTATCCTTATTACAAATGAAATTATTGTTTAGTGTCGATGAATTGTTAAGACTTCTTGACGATTCAGATGTGAGAACTGGAATGGATTGATTGACAGATTTCGGAAGTTGTTGGTTTTGATTGACAGATTGTGGGGCTGGTTGGTGTTCAACTGATTGACCTTTCAAGATATCGATTGACTGATCGACAACACGTCCATCAATCAAGCAGCTGTTGCGTGTACTGGATGAATGAATGATTGACTGATCGGATAAGCCTTCGAGTGGATGAATATTTGATTGATCTTTCAACTCTACCCACGGCTGACTGGGTTTGTCAGAGGAACAGCTGTTCACTGATTGGACGTCCTCCTCGCATTTTAACGACAACGACGCCGATGACGCCGATGTCGCCAACTCATTAGCTTTAACGTCACCTGATTGGTTTGTTGTGCTATTACTGACATCCGTTGATTGGTGGTGGGCATCATTACTGACATCACTTAATTGGCCAGCGACATTAGAGCCTCTACTTGATTGGTTCGTATCGGCATAGATTCCATCATCGTGAACATCATTTAACGATTCGTTCGTAACAGTAGCTGCAGTAGAATTAGTCGACGTTTTTCTAACTTTACCAATATTCTTGAAACCAAACTGGCTTTGAGGCATATTCGTCACGGGCAACACCGTTTGGTTTTTTTTGTTAACTTTGGAAGTCAACAAGAGCAGATCTCTGCTGGCAAAGAGGTGGTTGATGGTGGCCGGGATGGTTTCGATGGTGTTCTGATTGGGACCGCTGCCATCTTGGTTAGTGCAAGGCAGGGATGTGCATGATTTCGTCTGGCACCTCAGCTGATCGGGACTGATCTTTTTGTTCTGAACAGCTGTTGAACGGATAATTGTGATTGAAGAAATGAATACAATAATTTAGAAAGCAGAAATTATTAATTTAAATGTAGATGAGATTATCAAACTTTTGATGTTGAAAGCATTAAAACAACAACCATATCGCTACCGTGCCTAAATAAACACAAAAAATAAATCTTTTTCCAAGAAACCGTGCTTTCAAGATATTAAAGAAGCCTTTTAAAAAATTCTTTACTTTCATAATAACATGCCTATTTATATGAGAAGAGCAAACAAAGAAACAAAAACATGCATACGTGCATCAACAAACTCATACAAAAGCATAAATACAAACACACACACACATAAAAACTAAGAAACACAAATAACGCATTAGACGACACTTACATATCCACACACACACACACGCTAGCACTAACACAGACGGACAACATACCAGACAATATGATGTGAGCTCTCTTCTGCCTCTGCATCAGCTTCTTGTACTGCCTCCTCAACATGTCCACATCCAATGTGACCCTCTCAGAGAGAACTGGTGCCCCGCCCACCTGGTCCAACTCGGGGTGCGCGGTGTATGCCCCCGGACTCAACTTCGAGATGTCGGCGGCACTGTGGTCTGATTCTTGTTGTGGTAGTGCAGGAGTTGTAATTTTGGTGTGGTTGGGTGGATGAAGGTGAGGAAGTTGGTGAAGTTATCATTCAAGTTATCGAGAAATTTGACTGATGATGCCACTGATGATATTTGTAGTTTTTACAGTTACGACAAACATAACAAAAAGATCAAATGAAGAGATGAATAACAATTAATAAGAACCGAAACATCGACAGGCCCACCATGAAACAACAACAACAGCAGCAGCCAAACCAACCATCCTTCGTCTTGCAGCTACTGGAATGTTGCATCGGAAACAAACCAGCGAAACAGTTGAAACCATCCATGACGTCATCGTCGTCGTCATCGTCCGCCATCATGGACGCCATCTTGTCCGAACTGTGGCGAATCGCCTGCGATGAGGATGATGACTTGATGGCCGAATTTTTAGCTCTGGACACGGCGAATCTGTTTGCGTTGACCATAAAAGGTGTTATGTTGTACGTGAATTTCTCACGGAGTTCACTCAATTGAGGCAGAGGAAATGGGGCGATGTGGAAGATTTTCTGAATTTGAATTGGGAGTTAAAAATTGTAAAGTTTTTAATTTGAAATAATTTTATCAGATTGACTGCGAGGTTAAAATTTTCTTATCTATTTTTATAGATGAAAGCAAAAATTGAATAAAACGCCAAAAAATGTCATCCACAACGACAACAACTCACGACAAAACTAAAACAGACTTATAAACAAACCACACGATAGATTTAAAAAAAAACAAACATACAAAAACATGAACAAACAACGTAAAAAAACATTCTACAAACCAAAAGGATGCTAATATATATAAATGCAATCCATACAATATAGAAACACAGAGCAGAACAAATATTATGCTGAGTTTTTTTTCTTATAAAAACAAACGAAAACTTTCGGTGCATATCATGTTTTCATTTTTTGTATCAAACAGGTGAACAATAATGATAAACAGTACTTCAAACAACAGGAAACCGACAAACAAACGGACGTGGAAACAAGCAAGAAACAAACGTACAAACACATAAACGAACGAACGAACAATGAACAAACAATACGGTATTATTATTTGGCGCCCTAGCCCTAACCTTAACAAGTTCCTCAGTATCGAACATTTGTTCATCCAACATGTCTTGTCCCAGCACACCCATCATGGAGTAAAATTCATCAGCACTGTTTGCAGTCATTATGCGACTGCGTGTGTGCGTGTGTTTACGTGTGTACGAGTGTATGTGTGTGTGTGTGTGTTTGTGTTTGTGAATATGTGAATATGTGAATACGACAACAGATGTGAAAGGTAAAAGTGAGTTAAACTGAAATTGAATTATTCAAAGATTTATTAAGAAAAAATATCATCGCCAAGCAAGTACAGCAAACGCATTAGCGTTTAAAAAGCAAGATGACAAATAAGAGTCTGCTAATGTGGCAAAAATTGTAAAATATTGACGTATCAAATCAAATCAATTTATTCATTAAATCAAATCAAACAGAATCGAATCATGCATGACGTAGAAAACACTGACTAACAAACCTCTGCAAACGTTCCCAAATGACGATGCCAGTCCTTAGAAGCACCTCTGAGCCATCCAGCAGCACGCAATCCCAAACTCTCAAGACTGTCTGCTTGGGCAAACATGTGGCGAACATCGTTAAAAACCACTGCATGGTGAACACGTTCGTCAGCGGTGGCTCATAACTGGCACCTAAATGTTTTTGTGCTGGTGATTCAGTGAGATGATGACGATGAGGATGAATAGAATGACGATGGTGATGGAGAAGATGACGATGGTGATGGAGAAAATAACGATGAACATAAAGATTAAGTGATTGTGATGAGGACGATGATGATAAGAACGTCGATGAGAAGTTTTGTGAAAAAATTCGAGTCCAACGAAATCAAAATACCAAGCAAGCAAACACAGCACCACCAACAACAGCAACAACGCACCATTAGAAAAATGATCCTTGGCAGCTTGCGACTGCAATTTATCGAGGTGCCTGGAGAGGAGGGACAGGTGTGTCCTCAGCAGATCCCTGAAGACCGCCATGTCCACTGAAAGTGACCTCAAATTGTTGGCGAAGTATGACTCAGGTAGGACTTTGTCAATCAGGTAGATCATTACCTGCAGTGGTTGTGTGTGTAGCACGTGATTGATACAGGTGCCTCGCTCAATTAAGGTGTTTGTTTCAATTAGGATAAATGATTTGTTAAAGATAATTTGGATTAATTGGTGACATACAACTAATTATACCATTAAATAGAGCAAGCGTTTAGTTGTTTGTGTCGAATAATACGAGATGAATAAATTTTGATTGAATTCAAAAGAATTGGGATTTCATTTAAAACGCGACTTCAACTCCATCACCCCACCATCTCCATCATGACCGCCAACCTTCAGAGCAGAATCTTCCTGTCTGTCGACGACATCAAGTATGAGGGCAGCTAGAACGTTGAAACCCTGACAGTACCCCACATTTTTGTTCCACCGTGCGTAGGCCAGGAGTACCCTCTTGAGGACGGCCCTGTCCTCGTCGTTGTCCTGACCACTGAAACCACTGCATCCCGTTCTGTGGAGATCCTGAAATTGAAATGTCGGTGATTTGGTAGGTGTGTGCGTGCTTGCGCGTGCGTGTGATTTATCATACGTCTTACGTTTAATCATTCATTTATCTTATTTATATATACCTATCTAATCAAATGAAACGCTAGAACGAACCTTAACAATCTGCAGTCCAAGTTTGCTATCATCAGGGTTGCTCTTCTCGTTAAAGGCAAATTTTTTTGTTCGCTCCCAATCTATGCACAAGCTATTCATGTAATTGTCAGCCAGTGCTAGCCATACCTGAATGTGTGCGTGTGTACGTACATGTGTGTGTGTGTGTGTGTGCGTGTGTGTGTGGGTGGAGGAATAAACAAATGAATGAATAAATGAAGTCGGTCAATCAAATTATTAGCCAATCAAAACATCAGCCAATAAAAACATCAACGAATCAAAAACCAATTTAAAAGTAGCCAGCCAACAAGAAACCTTCTTTCTGAATTCGTTGGGAATTCCCAGCGGTAACCTGGCGACGGCCTTCATGGCGTCTTTCCATTGGTTGAAGGCATCCTCCCCTGGAAGTGGTTCGATGCTAAATCGGATCTTCGAGTCTTCTCCTGATAACGATGACGGTGGTTGGTGGTAGTAATGATGAAGATGATGAAGTAACAACGATGATAATGATGATGAAGAAGTAATGATTATGATGATGATGATGATGATGACTATGATGATGACGATGTCGGTGATGATGATGGCGACGACGACGATAATAGAAACATGATAGTGACAAAGATAATGACAAATATTAATTTAATAGATAACAAGATAATGACAAAGAACAAAAATGAAAAAAAAAACCATCTGAATATAATAAAATATAATTATAAAATCAATAAAATCGAATTCTCCAAGCAAGACTAAACCAAAACAAAATGCACATATGGGAAAAAAAATTTTTCTAAAATAAATACCATCAAGATAATACTCAGGTTTGAGACAGGTTCTACCACTGCTGCCACTATTAAGCCTGTACACACTCAACATGGTAAATCCAGGTTGTCATTCACATGTATATAACTATATATATATATCAAGTAATCTAGCTCTTACTTTATAACTTTTGCCAAATTATTTCAATAAATTCATTTCTTTATGAAATTGTTTTTTTCACTTTTACTAATACATATCCAACGTTTATATAAAAATAGTCATTTACCTTAAATTTCATACCCAATATATATAGAATAATTAGTCTATTTATTTATACTTTTAACAACACAACCGAATATAAACAAATACGATAAATATTATACAAATGTAAAATTCACGAAATAACATATCCCATATAAATAGACGCTACACGTGAACAACAGCCATTCAGCATAAAGCGTTACGACAACCAACCACAGAAAGTCATCTTAAAGAGAACTAATTAAATCAGGTAAACAAACATTTCGTTTATATATATACGTCTAATGCATTGCTTTATTGTGACAAGGAATGTATGCTGCATATGTTTGTATATACATATGTATATATATGTATATATACAAAAATATATATATATATATATATATGTGACGACTGATATATATATACGCATTTTATATACTTATACATGCGTTATACATATATTTTTATATATTGCATTACATATTAATATCAGTTTGTGTGTGTGTGTGTGTGTGTGTGTATGCGTGTGTGTGTGTATGCGTGTGGTGTGTGCGTGTGTGTAGTATATAGGGCAAATGTAAATGTAACTTAATTCACATTCATACATGTATATATGTTAATGTTGATTTGACAGTATAGTAGGCGTGGCTGTGTATGACGTAAATGTTTCCCAATCTCTCTCTCTCTCTCTCTCTCTCTCGTTCTCTTGCTTTTTTTTCTCTCTCTCTTTCTATGTATTTACATTTATCCTATAATATCTTGCTTTTTTCTGTTTTCTTTTTAATAATTGTATTCGATATAAATGTAGTATTTTTTTTGGAAAGCAAACATGTGTGCGTCCAAATTAGATTGGATGGGTGTGAAATGAAAAATTCATAAGTCACATACGTGTGTGTGCGTGTGTGTGACGATGACGTTGAAAGGGAACGATGACAGTGTGGTGCTGATAATATAATTAGAAAAGACTATGACGTGTGGTTATGCAATGATGAAGTGGTTACGAGATGAAGCGGATGTATGTGTAAATATTTTGCAGAAAACCCCACGATGACAAACTTAAAAACAAATGAATTATATACAGCATATCCGTGTGTGTGTGTTTGTGTGTGCGCGTGTGTGTGCGCGTGTGTGCAACATACTAAGTATTTACATAAGGATTAAAAAATTCTTCGCACAGCATTGTGTCGTAGTGTATAAGCAAGAAGAATGTCAAACGTGCGTGAAATCTTTGTGTCTGAATGAAATTTTCATGAATGAATAGAGGCATTCTAGACTAGAGTATGTATACATGTGTGTACGTGTGTGTGTGCAACACTGAGCAAGTACGATGTGTGTACACGTTTTTCTGTGTACTATGTCAATGATGGTAATGCACTGGAAAAGTGTGCAACAACTTAATGCATCTATGGGAGTATGTAGTACACGCAATTGTACATGTATGTAGCAGTAGGCGATGTATTCATTTGAATGAAAACAAATGAGACGACATCTCGAAATCTAGTCGTTAACTTAGGAATATACATTGGCCGGTTTCAATCAATCTTTTAATCGTCTATTGAATTAAGCATACAATTGAAAGCATAACTTATGATACGTGGTTAAAAAACGACATATGAATTAGCCATCGTTGAGCCTATAGACTCAGAAGAAAATTTAACGGTTAAAAAGTATGGATAAAACAAAATCCTTCAAAAAATTTTAATGATGACATTTAGTAGAATTGTGGAAAACACACACCCGCGTCTCATAGACACATACTCATCCACACACACACACCACACACACACACACACCACATATACACAAACACGCACAAATGCACACGCGTATAATTTTCGAAATGGAAATGCAAAAATACATATTGCGTAAGAGTCAACAGTAATCAAAAATTGTAAACATGGATTTTAAAAACAGGCACGAAACCATTCAAGCAACACACATAGAATGGCGTCATTAAGTACTTAGTACTTCAGTACAAAAGAGGAACTCACATACACACGCATCTCTCAGTCGTACAAACCAACACAGACGAGCGTACATTACATTACACAGACAACACACACACATACGTACGCACGCACATGTGACACAAATACGTGCACCTAACCTAGATTAAAAATAGATCCAATCATTTTGTACAGTGCCCGCTAGCGTGTGCATGTGCAAATATGTCTATGGCGGGAGGTTGTGGCCATAAAAATCAATAAAACTGCAACAACATAAATGAAGAACAACTGCAACAACACAATATAACAACAACACATACATTCAACGTACGTTTATAACTACGTGCATGTGTAGTACATAGTAAATGCATGCACCCACCAATACACATCCACACAAACACACACACACATATGCACACAGACACACACACACATATGCACCCACACACAAAGTAAAGTAAAACGAATAATTTTACTTAATAAAAAGAAGAATTGATATCTAATATTATTTCATTAATAAAAAGTAATATGATTTTTATGTAAGTAAAAGTTTTTTAATAAGATATGTGAGTGGGCATAATAAAATAAACCATCTTTTATCAGAGCTATTGAAGTATATTTTACAACATTTCTGAATTTAAATGTTAAGCGCTACGAAATTAAAAATTTACAACTTATTGTTATAAATGACGTTGCTCAACGATATCTACAGTTCCCTGAAACTTGTTGCTAAACGTTCGAGATGAAGACCGGTCGAAAGCGCGCAAGTTCTGTGTGGGATTATTTCACTTACGATGATAAACTAAATAAGAGTAAATGTTCGGCGTTGAACTCGAAAGACGAAACATGCGTCTTTTCACTAGCCGGCAAAAATCCCAGCAACCTAAAGACTCATCTGCGAAGCAGACATCCAGCTTCCTACGCCGTCGTAGAGAAGTGTAAAACCGATAACAACGGGAAAACGACTCTTTCTAGTGAGAAGCCTGCGTCCGGTGATGAAGGTTAGTTTTTAGACTATAAAATATCGGTTATCTAAAGTCATTAAACAAAGTTTCCATTTTGTTTAGCTCCCACGGTCCATTACAACACCCCTAAATATGTTTCGCGTTTACACTACTGCGGTTCGATTAATCGAAAATATCCTACCGAAAATACAAAAGTTCAGTGTGAACAAATTACAATTCAAAGACAACAAATGTAAACTTTCACTTTCAGAAAAGAGTACAGAAAACTTGGAAACACAGTCAAAGTATAAACAGCCAAGTTCCTGCTTTGTCGTGGTAAAATGTGAAGAGGAAAAGAACAGAAAAATGGCAATTCCCAATGAAGAGCGTGCATCTGTCGGAGCGGGTAGGTTAAAAAAAACAAAATTTTTCGCACACTAGCAAGCAAACGCACATCCTTTTTAACACGTGCAACAATTCATGCAATAACACGTGTTTATATATAAAAACTATTTTTTATTTAAACTAACAAGAACCGACAAAATGAAAATTAAACCAATTAGCTAATAAGCTAAACAAACGCTAATACATACACGCACATACACACGTGTGATTAAAAAGTGCTCTTCAATCTCATCAGCTGTCTCTTATTTCACATACTACATTCACATAGAGTATATACATATAGAGTATACATATACTATATATATGTATATATTATACATACATATACATGTAACGCGTGTTTCTTCGTGCAATACATGCTATATACAGCATGCAGTTTTACATTGCAACCCACGGTATATACGGAGGCATATTTGTATAGTTGTTGCATAGATCCGTTTGCCATGCATTATGTATGTATGTATTTATGTAAAGAGATCCAAGAGCGCTTATTGGTCATACAGCAGCTTATATTGTGTTTATTATTATAACGAGCTATTCGTACATCAATCCTCGTTTTCGTTCTACCGGTTCATCGTATCGTTAGTTTTGGTGAAACAGAAAAAAGATTATTTGATTGAAGTTAGTTTTAAAGTTTCTTGAAATTAATCTATGAATGAAAAAGTTTGAAGTTAAGATTTGTTTGTTTGATGAAAAATAACCTAAGAAGGAACGCTTCACAAAGCCGATTTATTAAAATGTTGATTGGAAATTCCGCCGTCTAAATGCATCTAGCCAGCTTTACTCAAAGTAAAAATTGCAAAAACTGAGCATACAAATTAAAAAATGTTTCAAATTGTATAACAAACAAATGTCTAATTGTAAGCTATTCAAGTCTACGATATGTTATTATAAAAAACTATTAGGGTCGTTTTTAAGATTTATTTTCAATTTTTTCAGATACATTTATAAATCGAGAACAAATTTTTTAATGTATCCTTATAACGGTGAAATTTATAGGCAGCACAAATTAATTATAATTTAGAATATTTTCTGACCAAAATTTATTATGCAAGTATTGTTTGAATGAAAAATAAGAATAATTTAAACTTGGCAGGAAATATTATTAAACTGAAAACGTTTCACAGATATGAAGCAATGCAAAACGTGTGGGAAAACTATGTTGGCGAGGAATCTCAATCGACACATCCAAACATGTTCTGGTACACCAATAGGTCCACTGGCACAAGATAAAGACCTTCTTGCATTTGGTCGTTCGCTGGCCTATCAAGATGAGACAAACGACAAATGGCTCAGAAAAATGGTTGAGGCTTTCCCCCAGATTCCAAAAGAAGATATATGGAAGGGATTTGTAGTTGCCCGCGCCGCGATGAGTGAGTTGTCTGTGCGTTTAATACCGGGGTTGGAAATACCTGGTCTGAGAGGAAGTGTGCCGTCAAGAGAAAAGTATGTAACCGACGCGAGAAGAGTTGCTGATCAGTTTGCAGTATTCCGAACTGACATGAATGATTGGTATGCCACTATAAATCCTCCGAAAGATCAAACAACGTCAGTTCAGTATAACAGTTTAAGCGAACCACTGACAAACACAGGTACAGTTTCGGAAAATAACCAAGAAAATGAACCTGATTCTGCATCCCAAGATAAAATAAACTTAGAAGTCCAGTCAGTAATTATAGGAGAATTAATAGAAACAAATCAAGACCCGATTCTTAACACTATCTGTGAGCAGGTGCCTGTTTACGAAGTGAAGCCAGATATAACTCAATTGCCTTCCTATCATAGTTCTTCATTAACTCCTACAGTTTGGCTGAACGAATCTATAAAGAATGCAAATCATAATTCTGAAACATCAAGTTTAGGGAAGAGGAAACTACCTGAGAGTCTTATTTCTGGTGAATTAGTGGTATACTGTGAAAAGTACAAAAAAGAGCTCTAATGTTTTCAGTTATGTATCACGGGCATTCATTCTGATGAGCTATTGACAGAAGTTAATAATAAATTATACGTCAATACTTACAACACGGAGACTACTTATATTTTTAATTCAAACTCGACATTATCAAAACAAACTTCCTCTTTTCATTGAATAAACGTATTTATATGTATATATGTATGTGGATTAAAAATGAATGAAAATCTGTTCAATTCAAGTCAGTTGTGTTTTGCTTATTAAAGCTAAAATATGAATAAATATGACTCATTTAATATTAAGAACACACAAACACCAAAAACCGACAAAATAACAATTTAATTAAAATGCATCAACACGTACACAGTTGTCGTAAACACACATACACATAAATACACACATTAACCATATATTCTGAATTATGTTAGCAGAAAAATAATTAACACTACAATACATTTGTTACAAAAATAGCATTCCACTGCCTTGGAAAATAAAAACGATGCAAGTTTCATGTATGTTTGTCCGTCTCGATTGGTTTCCTTACATAAACAGCTGCTTGCACATACATGTATAAACATACGCATACATACATATGCAGTATACACACATACGCGCATACATATACAAACACGCGCAAACACACATACGCAAGCAAACCATTAAATAGAAGCAGTCTCAAATTAGCGTTATTCGCAGTACAGAAACACTTCTGCTATTGGTCGGTATATATGGAAAGAAAAAGATACGAACGATTGATAGATTCATGCATCTTCTGGGAGACATTTGATACAAGCAACACAAATGGTGTGACATTTTAAGCCTTAAAAATCTTTAAAATAATTTAGCTTCATATGCGTTCAATTCTTCTAAAAAAAGACATAACAATGGCTATTATTATCAGATTCATTATTATCACAATCATCATTATTTTAACGTCAATCGCATTCATTTTCATGAACACACTCACTCTGATTCCAAATACGTTTACATAATGGTTATATAAACAATCAACGTTCAAGTGCACTTTCATACAAACACAATGAAAAAGCGAAAATCTACAATTTCACAATTACATAGATCACGTGACATTAAACAAACAAACATGACCTACTTCTCTTGAGCGATGAGGCATGCAGGATGGCGGTCATGATGTCATACTTCTCCCTCAGTGACGTCAGATTTCGTTCGCGGGCCTTCAACTGCTTGATGAGTCTCCCTGAGACTTGCGTGTTGCAGTGAAAAAGTTCAGAAAGCAGTTGCTCAAGCTGCGGTATGCCTGTGTGTGGCGTTGTTTGTTGACTCACTTAGTGACGCATTGAAAAAGTGCTAGAAAAAAAATTGAAAACTTATTTTTGAATTAATTTTTTAGTTAATAAACTCTTTGAAATTTAAAACTAACGATAGAAAATATTTTGAAGCAGTAACAAATGGATGAATGTGATGAACTGCAAACGTTAAATTTTAGTGACAAAAAGTAAAAAATAAGAAAGATGATAAGCATAACTGATATATTTGAAATGATTATTATAAGTAAAATAAAATTTCCCGATTTATCGATTCCACTCCACAGAAGTGAGCGCAACCCCTACTCCAGATCTTTGTAGTTATATCTCTTTGTATATTTAATAAATTGTTCCATCTTTGTTCTATGGTTGTAAAACTGCTTTGATATGTAGATTCTAAAAACTATTGCCTTGTCTATGTTATGTGGCTCGTAAAATTTATTTGAAAGTATATAAGAGAATACGCAGGTCAGACAAAGTTAAAATTCTGGTAAGTTGCGTCGGTCAAATAAAATCGTTTAAATAATTATTTAACAAACGGTTCAATTGTATTTACACCTCTTGTGCTTATCTTCATATCAATTTACAACAATGGCGGATGAATTATCAGCTAACTTATCAAATTATCACAATCAGATTGAGATGGTTCTGAAGGCATTGGAAGAAAATCCTGCTAATGACGATCTACTGAAATTGAAAAGTGACTTGCTGGAAGTCATCGTGCTGACGGAATCTTTAATAGAAGAAAGTCAACTTAAAACAAAACCTGAAAAATGGAAGGTAGGGAATCAGTGTCAGGCAGTTTGGTTAAAAGACCAACAATTCTATCCAGCAAAAATTGAAGAAATAATGGAAAACGGGACTTGCGCAGTTGTCTTTGAAAAGTATGGAACGACAGATATTGTTCAGCTTTCGTCTTTGAGGAAGCCAAAAGTATCTACAAAGAAAGTTAATTCAAAAAAACAAGCATTACAGGCTCAAGTTCCAGAAGAAGATGAAGCAGCTTGAAGATGAAAAAGAACAAGATAAACGCAAATGCTAAAATATTTTCAAAAACTAATAAAGGTCAAGTAAAAAAAAGCATATTTGCATCACGTGACACCACAGCTGGCAGAGTTGGAGCAAGAACGAGTGACGTTAGTGGCAAACCAGCGTCGAGGCTCTTCCATGGGAAAAGTCACAATAAATAATCACATGACAATGATGATGATAGTCAAGACAGCAGTGAAGAAGACGAAAACGAACATGATACATACCACCAAAATGTTCATCTATTCATTTTTTTATTTAAAAATTTGCAGATAGTTAACTTTTTATATTTTGGATTAAAAAAATTTTTAGATCGAAAAATTATTTTTGAATTATTAAATTTAAAACTAACGATAGAAAATATTTTGAAACAACAACAAATAAATAAATGAGTGTGATGAACTGTAAACGTGAAATTTAATGATATAAAGTAAAAGAACAAGATGATAAGCGTAACGGATATATTTGGAATGATTACAAGGAAAGAAAATTTTTTAGATCTTTCAATTCCATTCCACAGAAGTTAGCACACCCCTACTAAAGATGTTTGGTTCTAAAAAAACATCATAACAGATTTCAAACTTCCTTATTTTAAATTTACATTTAACTTGATAAACAAGTGATAATGATCAAATAATTTAATGAATAACCGAAGCAACTAACTAAATAAAGAAAAATCAAGCAGCTGACGAAAACGAAATAAGTAAAAAATGAATAACAAACACAAAAATAGAAAAATAAACAAACAAAAACAAATAGACAAACAAACAAACAAAACACCAATCAGATAAACGAATAGAAACAAAGAAAAAATAAATTCGATTAATATATCATTAAAGTGTAGCGAGTAACAATATAACGACTCCTGAGGCAGATGGCTACTCATCAGCTAATCAATAATCACATACTTTTAAACCATACTGTATACAAAATTAGGCACAAAAAACTTACGCGTACGTACACACACAAGCACAGTTGTACAAAATTTTAAAAACTTTTAAATTCGTAAATCGCGAAACTTTTATTTTTATTACAACCACAGTAAAAATAAAATTGTGATAAAATCATAACAACGATTGATAATGATAATAATAACCATAAAAATATCAGTATAAATAACTATAACGATTATAATTATTAAATGATGATAGCCAGATTCGTTCATCAAAAAAACAAAGTAAACCAGTAAACTGGCCGAATTTCGAAATCTTTTCGATAAAACATACACACGAAAGACATGATTGAAAATTTTCAGATTCACCATTTGTAATATCGAAACCAGTGGCAACAGCATTCAATTATTCCCAAGTTTCTTTGATGGAGAGTGTTTTATTAACTATACATAGATCAGATTTCTTGTCACGAAGACGCCGATGAAAGGCGTTTAAAATTAGCGCTATATAAATCTTTTACTCTATGCATATACGAACTTTGTAGTTTTAACTCTTTGTATATTTAATAAATTGTTCCATCTTTGTTCTATGGTTGTAAAACTGCTTTGATATGTAGATTCTAAAAACTATTGCCTTGTCTATGTTATGTGGCTCGTAAAATTTATTTGAAAGTATATAAGAGAATACGCAGGTCAGACAAAGTTAAAATTCTGGTAAGTTGCGTCGGTCAAATAAAATCGTTTAAATAATTATTTAACAAACGGTTCAATTGTATTTACACCTCTTGTGCTTATCTTCATATCAATTTACAACAATGGCGGATGAATTATCAGCTAACTTATCAAATTATCACAATCAGATTGAGATGGTTCTGAAGGCATTGGAAGAAAATCCTGCTAATGACGATCTACTGAAATTGAAAAGTGACTTGCTGGAAGTCATCGTGCTGACGGAATCTTTAATAGAAGAAAGTCAACTTAAAACAAAACCTGAAAAATGGAAGGTAGGGAATCAGTGTCAGGCAGTTTGGTTAAAAGACCAACAATTCTATCCAGCAAAAATTGAAGAAATAATGGAAAACGGGACTTGCGCAGTTGTCTTTGAAAAGTATGGAACGACAGATATTGTTCAGCTTTCGTCTTTGAGGGAGCCAGAAGTACCTACAAAGAAAGTTAATTCAAAAAAACAAGCATTACAGGCTCAAAGGGAGTACAAAAGGAAGAAGTTCCAGAAGAAGATGAAGCAGCTTGAAGATGAAAAAGAACAAGATAAACGCAAATGGGAACAATTCAATGCCAAAATATTTTCAAAAACTAATAAAGGTCAAGTAAAGAAAAGCATATTTGCATCACGTGACACCACAGCTGGCAGAGTTGGAGTAAGAACAAGTGATGTCAGTGGCAAACCAGCGTCAAGGCTCTTCCACGGGAAAAATTAAAATTAGCGCTGTATAAATCTCTTAATCTATGTATATGATCTTTGTAGTTTTATCTCGTCCTATATTTAATAAATTGAAACGTCTTTGTCATGTAGATTCTCACAATTGGCTTGTCTATAAATGTGGCTCCCAAAAAATTTATTTAAAAGTATAAAAGAGTACACGCAGGTTAGACAAAGTTGAAATTCTGGTAAGTTGCTTCGGTCAGATACAATCGTTTAATTAATTATTTAACCATTTGTTCTATAAGTTTAAAGTCATCTATTTACACAACATAAAGAATCTCTTAGAGGCGCTATAAAAACCATTTCAATAAAAATATTGGTGTGAATTATATAGGACAAAAGATTACTCAATGATTAAGAAAATATTTTATTTTTTCAAGTTGTGATGAAAGATGTAATACATAAGTTATGTAGTAGAGAGGATTACATAAATGACAAAACTTTATAATAAATACCCCTTCATTAGGTTGCTGATTTGTAAGATAGCAATGCTGTTTAATGAATCAAATTAATCTTTATTTTGATTAGCAATCTTGAAAAGTCATGAATAAAATCGTTTTAATTAAAATATAATTTACTTTTAATCATGAGGTTGGCCACATTCAATCTACCTTTGTCATCATTGATTCTCTCGCTATCGTTCCTACTAATGAAGACGTCTGATTCAGTCAGGTCAGTGAATGTATCACTGTCGATGCTGTCCTTGCAGCCAAAGTGCCATCTGTCATAGATCTCAAACAACAAATCATTGAAAACACTATTACGGTGATGGGCTCCAGATGTTGTGTCATCGTGAGCTGCATAATCATCAAAACTTTGGCAATTTCTCTGATTCAACTGGCAAGAAAGTTTTTGTTCATGATGAAATGTGCTGTCGTTGCTTGTTGGAAGGTGGTTTGGGATGTTTGTGCCTGTGGGATTTGTCAATGAGTTGATTGGCAGTGACATTCGTTTGTTGCTGCTACTGCTGCTGTTTTTGTAGTTGTTACTGCTGCTGTTGTTAAGGCACTGTAGTAATTTTGGCGAAGTTGGTAGAGGCACTTTATTGAGCATGAATGCATCCCTAAGTTCACTTTTATTCTCCGCTTTCAGTACGTTATTTTTCTCTGGAGAACATTCTTTGTCATCTTCGTCATCAGCTGTAAGGTTGTTGCTGGAAAGATGGGCACTGCTGCTGGCTGCAGATAACAGAGTATTAGTTCCTGTCCCCACTGTTCCTGTGTGGTTGTTGTTGTTAGTGCTAGTTTCTGCTGTGGCTGCATCTTTTTTGTGAGCTGGCTCACTGACAATCGTTTCTGTTTCCGAAGTTGTAACGTTCAAGTCAACACTTTCAAGGCTGTCATCGGAGTCGTCGTAGTTCCTAACTTTCAAATTTGTTTTATCAGGGAATGATCTCCTCTTCTTACGATTCATTTCAAAAGCGAATTTCTTTGCATTTCTGATGCTGCTTAAAGCTTTCAAATTGTCGTCTAAATTTAACAAATTAATTTCTTTCGACCTGTTATTCATGTTAATAAAAATAAAATAACAAAAACTAAAAAAACAGATTGTTTGGTTGGAATGAATTGTTATCGCAACAAAATAAAAATAGGTTAAAAGTGAGCTTTGACGCAAAAAAAGCACATCGTATGTATTGATTGATCGACTGCAGTGATGAGGGCTTCAAAATTTTGCTCTTTTTTAATTTTTCATATATGATAACATTTTAATCTCATATTGCATCATTTTAACATCATTTTCACCACATCTTCACTTTTTATCACCTATTTCATTTTTGTTCTAGACATTACATTATCTTCAGTTATTAATTATTCGCAGTATAATACAAATTTTGAAATGATATAGCAAAAAAAATCTATTTTCAGCTCAGATATCAATAAAATATATTTAAACATTTAAAAAACACTGCAAAAGGTCATTAATATTAATTTATTTTCGTGAATACAAATGCAGAATAAAAGTTTAGCTGATGTACGCAATGCTTTTACGCAGAATAAATCACTTTGCATGCTAACGCAATCTATCATTGGTATCCAACTGAAAAAATGATCCCACATTTGTCAATAATTTTCAATTTAATTATAAAATATAAAAGGATATTAAAAGGTTTGTAAAGAGTTTCACAAAAAATGGCATCTGGTTGATATAATTCATGAAACTTATTAGGTTAGGTTAGGTTAATTTATAAAAATAATCGTGATCATTATTTAAATTCTGTACATTCAATCACTCAACTTTGTTTTAGTGGTCTTAGATCACAAAAAATTCCCGCAAAATCTTTCAAATTTATTTAAAAAAATTTTCTATATCAACTGTTAAATGTGATTTGCACGTAGGTACAATATTAAACTTGGCTTTGGTGCAGTCAAGGGTATATTTTATAAAATGTTCTAAAAATCTTTACGATTCACTTGATTTCAATTTGTATCAGCTCTCCTATTTCTGTTGTGATTTGGTTTACGCGATGCTTGTTTTTACTATGTTGACGTCATTTTAGTTGTTGATGTTTCCTGTTGTTGTTTTAGCTGTTGATGTTTCCTGTTGTTGTTGTTTTAGCTGTTGATGTTGTTGTCTAGTCTTTTGATATTGACGTCATTTTAGTTGTTGTTGGTGTTGTTCTATTTGTGATTGTTTGAGAGTGGAAAAGGTGATGGGGTGAGTAGTGCGGGCGGGCGCTGGTGCATATCGATCATTCGTGATGAAAAGTTGATGGGATGATGTGGTGAAGAAGAGGAAGATGATGGGAATGATGGTGATGAGAATGATGATGAAGAAGATGACGAGGAAGAAAAGGAGGATGATTTTGGAAATGTTTTCGATGCTAAGGATAATTTCAGAAATGTCGATACCCCGTTGATACTAAGGACGATACGATAACGTTGATACTTATTGCTTTAATGATACGATGATAAGTTCATTTTCATATTATATGATTATAATTACAATAATAGCTAGGATGTTGCAGTTGACAATGTCAATGATGACGTCGTTAATGAATGATAATTGCAGCAAAAATCATGACGATGATGTGTCTTGTTTGGTCCTATCAGCCAATCAGAATTAGCCTAGCATATAGCACGTGATGGACGTTCAGTAGATTATGACGTGCAAACAGTTCACGCGCCAATGAACAACAGGGTATGTTTTTGTTTGTATGTATGTATGTGTGTTTGTGTGTGTGCATGTTTGTGTGTGTATGTGTGTGTGTGCATGTTTGTGTGTGTATGTGTGTACATGCATGTATGTATGTATATATATATATATATATATATATATATATATATATATATATACATATATATACATATGTAGTAAACACGTGTGGTATTATGTATATAAAATAGTTTGTATCACTTTATATGCATGTTTGCTTACTGGTTTTGTCTGTATGTATGTGTATATGTATACGTATGTTTTTTGTATGAGCCTATATACGTAAGAATGTTTATTTGTTTGTGTGTATATGTGTGTACTTGTGTGTGAGTATGTGTATGTGTGCGTGATGTGTTCTTGCGTTGTTTGACCAGCGATGCGTGTAGGTGTTGCTTTGATTGTCCGGCGTTTGCTATTTACGCTGATGATGATGGTGCATGGTGAATGAATGGAAGAATGAAGAAATGAATGAATGAATGGATGAATGAAAAAATGAATGAATGAAGGAATGAATGAAGGAATAAATAAAGTAATGAATGAGGGAATGAATGAGGGAATGAATGAAGAAATGAATGAAGAAATGAATGAAGGAATGAAAGAATGAATGAAGGAATGAAAATTGAATGGATGAATAACGTTTACTCTCTCTTAGTCGATAGTGTTAGTGACGTTTGTTCTCTCAATTTCAGGAGGAAATTATGACAAAAGAAATCAGGATGTACGCATATGATGAGAAGAATGCACACACACGCACATACACGCACGCACGCATGCATACGCACGCACACACACGCACACGCACGCAAACACACAAACACATTTGATAATATAACGCACATTTGATATGGGGGATATAATAAAAATACACGCACACACAAACATGCATACACGTATCAACACACACACACACACACATATAGACACACGTATCAACAAAAACACACACACATACATGCTTAAACATATTTTTAAAAATCACTTAGACTCGCGTAACATATAAACAAAGACGTTTATATCTTTTTATTAAAACAAACTTTATTAAAAACAAAGAAAATTGTAAGAATAGAAAATTATAACAGAAATATGTGTGTGTCTGTATGTGTTTGTGTGCTACTCTGTGCTTGCGTGTATGTGTGTGTGTGTGCGTGCGTGTGGTATGTGTGTGTTAGGTGTTCGTTCTTTTGTTTCAAATTTCAAATGTTTTGCTCGTTTTGGGGTTTACCGCAAGATTAATTTAAAAAAAAAATAGATTATAAACAAACAATGATGATGACGATGATGATAATGGTGGGGCAATGGGAATGGTGATAATTGTTAATAATTAATTAAGGTAATTAATTAACTAATTAAAATTTAACTAATTAATCTTCAAATGTTCTTTTAATTTTTCCAATGTCTCGCACTTTTTAATGTGATTTCTTCCATTGAGATGCTCCAGCACTTGCAAATATCCATTCAACTGCACGTCGCATATCGAACAGTGCAGTCGTCGACGACGGCGTTTTTGTCGCTGTTGCTGTAGTGGTAGTTGTGGCTGTAGTGGTAGTTGCGGCTGTAGTGGTAGTTGTGGCCATAGTGGTAGTTGTGGCCGTAGTGGTAGTTGTGGCCGTAGTGGTAGTTGCGGCTGTAGTGGTAGTTGCGGCTGTAGTGGTTGTTGTGGCTGTAGTGGTAGTTTCGGCTGTAGTGGTAGTTGTAGCAGTTGTGGATGTTTATTATGGTTGTTATAAAAACAACGCTGTTGTTGTTGTAGTGGGTATAGTTGTTGGGAAGATGTTTGTGCTGTTTGTTGATGCTGTATATGAAGATGATGTTTTTTTGACAACGACGCTGTATGTTCCTTATGTGATATGTTTGCTGACAATGATTGTGGTTGGTGTTGTAGCAGATGTGGTTGCGGTTGTAGTTGTTGAAGCTGTAGTTGTTGTGGCTGTAGTAGTAGTGGCTGTAGTTGTTGTAGCCGTAGTTGTGGCTGATTTAACTTATGTGATTTTTGTAATGAGTTTAGACCAAATGAACTATTACTATGAAAAAAGGATTGTCGGTATTGGTCTAGAGTTATGCTGTTCATAGGAGGATTTAGTTTCGTATGATGGTAACGTCCCATTGACTGTTGAACTTGTTCTGACTCGTTGTTCTGCAGTTCGGATGTGGTTACAGTTGTTGGTGAGAAAATTTTGTTTCTCGTCGTTAGCACGCCTTTCCTTCCGAGTTTATTTTTCCAATGGAGAAGTTTCAAAAACGTGGAGGAATTTTTGTTCATTCTGTTGTTAGCGTTTTTGCCATCGTTGATGTTTCTATTTTTGTTGATGTTGTTGATGTCGTTTGCGATGTTTGGCGCGACAACTTTGTCAAATTCTCCAATGTAGTTGTTGGTGTAATTGATATCACTGGTGATGATGTTATCATGGTTAATGTTGTTGCTGCTACTATTGCTAATGTCGGACGCGGTGTCAGGCGTGTTGTTTAACATGCTGGCGTTCTTTGAATTGATAGTATTAATGTGATAATTTTGATCAATGTTGTTTTTGTTTAAGTCATTTTTATTGTTAATTTTATACCTGTTGCTGTCATCTTTAACGCTGAAATCTCGGCAATTATTGACTGCTGTATAAACTTTATAGAAATCATCATTGCGTCTGTTGGAGCTGATGTCATTTTCTCGGTTAATGTTATCAATGTTGTTATCACTGATGTGGTTGTTATTGTTATCAGAATTAATTTTGCAGGAGTTGATGTCGTGAGAATTGATGTCGTCGTTGTTGTCGTTAACGCAGCTGCTACTAACATTGCAAATGTTGTTGTTGATGTCATTCGTATCATTCATGTTGCAGTTGTTGTTGTTGATGATGTCATTGATGTCGAAGATATGTGGATAGATACAACTTGAAAAACCTTTGAAGGATGGTTTCTTTGAGTTCAATGCACACTTCCTACTTGAAGCAATCCTAGAAAATTTTCTTTTTCTAGATGAGTTTTTCTTGATAAAATTTGGATTTTTGATAACGTTACGTCTGTGATTTATGTTGTTTGCGAATACCACATCACTATTCGTCGAGTTTTTTTTCCAAATTACCGGTTCATTACCGAAACCGTTAAACATGAAATTTCTACATTTTAATGTTGAGTCTTCACCATTTTTACCGTTGTCGCTACACAACAAATCGATACTATTCGGTTCTTTTCGGTAACGTTTTATAAAAGTCGAATCCGAGAAGTCGGTTGAGCTGGTAGAGATGTGTTGTTGCGAATGACAAAGTAACATTTCTTGCGGGGTATAGTTGAGTGTTGTTGTTGTTGACGTTGTTGCAGGTTGTTGTGGATAGTTTATGAATTGGTAGTAGATTGGCTGAGCTATCCCGGATTCGAATCCTGTTAGGCGCAGGACGGGTAGAGCGCTGAATATGTTGTAATATGGAAGCATCGTTGATGACGACGACAACAACGACGACGATGATGATGATAACAATGATGATGATGATGGTGATAAAATGGTGATAATCCAATCCAGTTGTTGTTGTTGGGCCTGTAGTTGTTGTTTTATTTTATTGGTTGTGAGTGAAGAACAAAAAATGTTCCTGATGTAGTCGATAGGTCGAATATATAATTGTACTGCATGCCTTATATATATATATATATATATATATATATATATATATATATATATACAAATACATATATATAACATATAGATGATGTATATCATCTTCATCATCTTCTTCACCACTATCATCATCTTCTTCACCATCATCATAATCATCATCGTCAGAAAATGGCTACCTGCGTGCGCGCCCTCATCATCATCATCACCACCGCCAACCTGATACACGCCAGCCAACACACCTCGAGCGATAATTAGAAAATTGAAACAACATAGATAAAATACAGCATAGATAAAATATAATAATAACGAACGAAAATATAATACGTACAACAAAAAATGACTTATATCCATCGTGTTTCATAATCTTCTCCTGTCATCGTCATCATCATCGCCATCATCATTATCATCATTCTTACTATATCATTATCATCATGATAATTATTAAATAATGACGTCATCATCATCGTCGTCGCCGTTGTAGATATCATAGACGTCATATTCATTAACACGATCGTCGTCTTCATCATCTTCATCGTCGTCATCATCATCATCATTCCCATCATCATCGTCATTTCCATCATTTTCATCATCATCATCGTCGTCGTCATCGTCATCACTACCAATTAATCTCCATTAATCCTGGCAAATTCATCATCGTTCTAAAGAAAAAAAAACGAAATAATAATATTAATAATATTATCATTATTATTATAATTATCATTATTATTATAATTATCATTATTATTATAATTATCATTATTATTATAATTATCATTATTATTATAATTATCATTATTATTATAATTATCATTATCATTATTATCATTTTTATTATTACCATTAACAATAATAAAAACAACAATGATACAGGCAATCTGCACTTGTTGTTGTTAATAATAATCATACCAATGACCGTTTCGTCTGCCTCCATGTAGTTAATTTGTTGTTGTTTGTATTATTATTATTACTACTATTATTATTAATATTATTATTGTTGTTGTTGTATGTAGTAGTATTGTAATTATTATTATTATTATCATTATTATTAATATTATTATTATTATTGTTGTTGTTGTTGTTGTTATTATTATTATTATTGTTGTTGTTGTTGTTGCTGCTGTTGTTTTTAACGTACCATGAATACGTATCGTGAATACAACTGACCACCAACAACAAAATATCAATAATAATATATACATATATATTTAAATAATATAATATAAATTGTCATTATATATGTATATATATATATATATATATATATATATATATAATGATAACAACGACGACGACAACGAGAGAACAACAACAGCAAAAAGCCGCGTCAATTACTCTTTCCGCCCATCCTCGCTATATTGATGACGTCATCGTCATGTGAATGACGTCATTAACGCAACCAAAGACACTAATTAACGGGACCAATAAACATCGACGTTCGCTGTTTCATTTACGTATGCCTGTTCCTTTGTTTATGTTGTTGTTGTTGTATTGTTGTTGCTGCAACTGCTGTTATTATGATTATCGTTATTGTTAGTTTTATCGTTGTTGTTGTTCTTGTCGTCGTCGTTATTGCTATTGCTATTGTTGTTGTTATTGCTGCTGATGTTGTTGCTGTTGTTGTTGACATCATACATTATTATTATTATTGTTATTTATGTTTATGTTGTTGTTGATGTTGCGTCGTGGTTATTTAAAACCACTCGGTATTGATGTCATTGATGACAGTAAATGTTGATCATCATTACTTTTCTGTGGCTCTGAGTGTTGTTTTCGAAACACAAATCAATGTTATGATTGCCACTCTCTCTCTCTCTCTCTCTCTCTCTCGCTCTCTTCTCTTTTTTCTCTTACCATGAATTTCCTTCTTTCATTTTCTTCATTCATCTCTCTATCCATCAATATATTTTTGTTGATTTATCTTCTTTTCTAAACATCTCTTCTTCAACAGTTCTCCTGCTTGACCTGGCATTTGAAAGTTCATACCATGTTTCATAACTCTCTTTTAAAGCCCGTTTAAAGAGTAACATCCTGTATATCGAAGTCTAATTGTACCCGCTTACTACGTAGCCATGTATGTATATTTCAGTCTTCCGAGTGATTTAATAAATGGATCAACTGCCAAATAAAATATTAGGAATGCGTTGATAAAATGTCGGTACATTGAATCGAGTATCATATTTACGTCGGCATAATAATCCGGTATTTATTTATTCGAGTATTATTTGAACACTGGCAGGAACAAAATTCTCTTTCAACCGATTCATTAATATTAAATACGGATGTACTTACATTTCCCCGTTTGACCGACACGTCAAATATGAGTATTCAACTCTTAGGTACAAATGAACTTATAAGTACGAATAAACTTATAATTACAAATGAACTAGTACTATGAGTACAATGGCGGATTTATGTGAAGCCATGGCCCTCCACTGTGAGCAGTTTTGTTATTACACTACCACAAATTTTGGCCTCAATCGTCTAAATTTTTAAAAAATTTCAAAATTTAAACCGTTTCACAATTTCTTGCCTCAGCCCGTCTATGTTGTCTAGATCTGCCACTCTATGGTTACACTCTGACATTCTAATTTGTCTCTCATATAAACTAAATTGATACATAGTTAAATACACGCACATACACACGCACATACAAATACTACAAAATACATATAAAAACATGCAAAAATACGCACAAACACTGCCCAGTTCAATCAAACAAAACCACATAAAATACCCATACACAAAGATATGCACAATCAAAAGTACACATAGCCAAACAAGCAGCACACACTAGTAAAAACACACATACACGAAGGCACGTACAGATAAGCACACACACACAACAAAACAAAAACAGAGAAGAGAGAGAGAGAGGAGAGAGAGGAGAGAGAGAGAAAGAGAGGAGAACTATATAGACTCACACACACACACACACCGACACACACACACACCGACACACACACATACCGACACACACACATCACAGCATACCTAAGTATACCTGTTTTTCCAATGAAGCATTCGTTCATTCATTCATTCATTGTGATTAAAATTCCAATTAGTCGCTTTCCCGTGATTACCATTGTCGATGCTATTATTATTATTATTATTATTGCTATTATTATTATTATTTATATTATTATGCTATTATTTTTTTTATTATTTTTAATTATTTGTATTAGTAACTTCACCTAATTTACCGACATAACCGACGCTATGGATGAGGCCTGTCGATATTAACGGTAATACCGGTTGATTCTACCGGTAAAAGCAAGAATACCGACAAAACCGTAACTGACAATATTAGTTTGTATGAAAAATTTCGCTATTTTGCTTGTTGAGTTTGCCGAGATAACAATGGATATAAATGTCGAATTTGTCGAAACTGTCGAATTTAACGAGACGTACGTAGAAATTTTTAGCAGGGTTTTGAACAAAATGATGAGCTTTTTTGGCTCCAGTCGAAATTCAATTTCAATTTAATTGTAATTTTCACTGGATTAAGTCGTCAATAAATTGAAAGTATTGTAGAGTTATTGTGTGATTGAGAATAGAAAGATTGGGAAAAAAGGCGTGAAAAAATTCTAGCCTAAAGTTCTTATTTTGTTACAAAACTGTTTCTAATATTCCACAGAAGTATCAACAATAAATACGCACAGTGAGTTTGAATAAATACACGCAAATCAATGCAAATCACACACAAATCCCCCAGCAACCTGCACAGTCACTAAGAAGGCAATGACACTCACCTTAAACATTTAAATTTAGTTAACTTCCAATTGAGAGAGTTCACATTCAAAGGAAAGTTCATTACGAAGTGTTAAATCTTGATTTGATTTATAAATAGATTAATTTTTTATTATAAATATATCTGTGAATAGATGAACAGACAACTAAATAAACGTGAATTTTGATTGGATTATGTTTAATTAATTAGTGTTTTTTTTTATAAACTTATATGAGGCAATCTAGGAATAGATAGACGGATAAATTGATAGATGAATGAATGAATGAATGATTGAGTGAATGAATGAATAAATAGATGAATTAATGAATAAACGAATGCATGGTTGAATAAATAAATGAATAAAAAAAATGAACGAAAAGTTATAAAATATTGATAACAGCTAATCTCAACGAATGAATGATAATTGTATAAATAACAAAGCAATACAAACTTTGCAATAGTAATAATTATTTATAATAATATAAATGATAATAATAATAATAATAATGCAAATAATAATTATACAACAAAATCATAATAATAACAAAAAATACATTTTTACATGGATTTCGAACGTTTTGATGCCACGTAAAGTAGCAAGCGATATACATTGGGAGAGGATTTTACGTTGTTCTACATTGCACTAATCTCAAAAATTGCGCGCGAATAATAGTAATAATAATAATAACAATAATAATAATTACATCAATAACAATAATAACAATAATAAGAGAAAAATAATTAGAGTTCATTGTTTTTTTTCTTGTTTAATCTCAGATTCGATTGGATTATTATTATTATTATTATTATTATTATTATCACCATTACCATCAGCACAAAAGCACACGCGTCAAACATCTGTATGATAAATCTAGATCTCCTATGTATTTGAACGCGGGGGCTACGACATAGTACCGGACACTTTACCACTACTCTATCCTTCTCTAAACATTTTCACCATCACTCTCTTTATCTTTTTATACCACCGTACACGAAAATTTAATGATTACTAATCCTTACGTTCTCAACAATATCACATTTGATAAAGATAATTATCTTTGGTTATTAATTATCATAAATGTTTGTTATATAAAAATGATGGTTATACATAAAAATAGTGGTTATACATAAAAATAATTTTAATAAAAAAAATGATGGTTATACATAAAAATGGTGGTTATACATAAAAATGGTGGTTATACATAAAAACTGCGGTTATGTAAAAAAAGAAGTCAATTTCACAACGAAGTTTATGTACAATTTTACAATTTCTGCGATTTTTGTTAATGTTAGCTACATTCTAAAATCAATAAATAGAGTTAAATTGTTTGTTTGTTAAATAATATAATTACTGTGTTTTATTGTTGTTGATGTTTTTGTTGTTGATGTTATGCTGATGTCGTTGTATTTGTTCTATTTGTATGCTGCTATAAATATTACTTTAAATCAATCAAACAACTAATCAATCAAGCGGTCAATCAACCAATCAAACCTCCGACAACCAATCACGTGACCAGTCAATCAACCAGTCAATCAACCAGTCAATCACATCATCATAATCTTTCGTTGATCATCAACATATCTGCTCAGCTTGTCAAGGTCCGTCATTGATTGGTTCAATCTAAGCTCCTCCCTCAGCCGGCGTGTCAGCTGGGCCTGAACTCTTGACTGTGATTGGTTGAGAAATTGATTGAACTTATTAATAAATATTCATGTAAAAACTGAATAAATAATTTTCATAAATTATTATTATCATTATTATTAGATTTCAAAGGAAAAACGAATTAGTATATGTTTTGCTTATAGATTAATTAATTGAGTGGAATATAACGCAACAAGCGTCGCCAATATCTATTTATAAATAACCACGTGATACTCCTCCAATGAAACAACTTATATAATTTATTCATAAAATCTATTTATAAACATATGACGTCACGAAGAACCTTCTGTATGGACTCCTCCTTCTGGTGAAGCAGCATTTTACTCCTCGTCTCTTTGTTGTTGATCGAGGCCCGCACCGACGACCTCCATTCTTTTTCCAAGTTCAACATTCTGTTACGTGATTGGTCGATGGAATAAGTCACCACGTGATTAGTCGTTTGAAAACATCACGTGATTGGTTGGTGGAAAGTGTCACGTGGTCAGTCGTTTGAAAACATCACGTGATTGGTCGTTTGAAAGTGTCACGTGGTCAGTAGTTTGAAAACATCACGTGATTGGTCGTTTGAAAGTGTCACGTGGTCAGTCGTTTAAAAACATCACGTGATTGGTCGGCGGAAAGTGTTTTTTTATTTTTCCTTAGTCGCAGATTGTACTATTTTTTTCAAAATTATAAAACAATTATCATTATTTTATTAAAAATTATAACAATTGTAATAAATAAGTCTTATTGTCATCATCATCATTATTATTATTATTATTATTATTATTATTATTATCCTTTTTATTTGACCTTTGCATGTTTTCCCTGTGAAGTTTCTCCTTGACCTCTCTTGACCTCGAGGCAGCTTCCTTCTTCTTCGATATCTGAAGGGCTTGCAACTCTTCAGCTTGTTTTTCTTGCTGTCGATTACCATCATCACCACCATCATTATCATATCATCTTTTGTTTCATCATCATCTTCATCATCATCACCACCAGCAGCATCATCATCATCATTATCACCACCATCTTCATCACCACCAGCAGCATCATCATCATCATTATCACCACCATCTTCATCATTATCATAGCCATCACCACCACCGGCATCATCATCATCGTTTACCTGTTTCCTGTATAGGGCGGCTTGCTCCTGCCAGCTCTTAATCTCCTCTTCCATTTGTTTCTGCTTCTGCTGCGATCTCTCTATCTTCTGCTGCAGCTCGTACCTAAATAATTATCATAATTTATTATTTTTACATATTATAATTACAAATTATGTTAATATTATTACTAGGGTCAGTGTTATTATACCACACAAGGTGGTTAGCATCGAAGAATTGCAATTGGCGATAGTGTACCAGCGATACTCTTTCAAGAATGGATTTGGCAAAACTTTTGATGTCAATGAAGCATCTTCATTAACGTCACAGTTTTCACCATCCTAACGACCATCAACATCACCACCATCGTCATAATCACCTACACGTCATTATTTTTTATACGGCCACATCATCGCCATCATCATCACCTAATCTTAGCGGCTTCCTCTTCCTTAATCTTCCTCGCTTTTGTCTCCGCAGCCAGTAACGTAGCATCCAAGTTATCCTGCATCTCTAACACTTCTTTTCTGAGTGAGTGAATGAGTGAGTGAGTGAGAGAAAGAGAGAGAGAGAGAGAGAGAGTCAGTCAGTAAGTCAGTCAGCCAGTCAGCAAGTAAGTGACTGAGTGAGTTATGATAGTAAGATAACGATAAAGCTGTACTGTTTGTGTACTTTAATATATATATATACGTATGGGTAAGTTAGTCCTAAGTAAGTGTACTTATATGTACACGCAGTACACTGCAATTTAGTGTATAAATATGTACACATATTTATATGGTTATACAAATCTGTTGTACTAGTTAGGGATCTGTAGCAAGGAAAATTGAAAAGACAAACTTTAAATTAATTAATGCCAACAATTCAGTAGAATTCATACATTACTGTATAAAATATGCTCTCCTAGCAGCATATCTGTACCATGTACACATAAATGTGTACACATAATTACGTACAAGTGTGTATGTGTAAGCCTAATTTTAAAAAAATCATAAAAAATCATTTAAACAAGACCTTGACAATTTCTTGACATATTTGAGAGAACATTTTAAAAGATATCCATTATAGGATAGAATAATATAATAACAACATCTTATGGTACATTATGATATATCTATGATATCTTTGCGCTATCCTTGCGGTGTATCATAAATTTTCCAAACATTTTTTCAATCACAGTCCAAGCACATACCAGAATATTTAATTATCATAGCTTGATATTATATGGCTCTCTTGTTAATATTAAATGCTGTTTGATATATGTTCTTATTGTTATTTATTATTGTTAATATTATTTTTTATTATTATTATTGTTGTTGTTGTTGTTATTATTATTATTATTATCACCGTCATCTTTGTTGGCGTTAATAATATTTTGAGTGCATTCAACATAGTATGCATTGTTTTAGTGTACCTCCTTGTGTTATCATATATGTGTGTGTATGTGCGTGTATGTATGTATGTGTGCGTGCATTTATTTGTGTGTGTGTGTGCGTGTATATGGGTGTGTGTGTATATCTATGATTAACTTAACTAAAATAAACTCAACTCCGTGATTGGAATAAAATCTTTCGTTACGAAATTGAGTTTTTTATTGAGTGAGTAATGAATGAATGAATGAACGAATGAATGACTGAATAAATAAATAAATAAAATAATTAAATAAGTAAGTAATTAATAATATAATTAAAACAACAACTAATAATAATAATTAATTAATTAACTAATAATTTATGCGCCAACGTACTGAGTTAGTTTCCTGCTTTTTCTCAGCTGCAGGCTCTTCTTCATCGTCAACTCGTTCTTCATCATCGCTTTCTAAATGAAATCATTAATAATTAGAGTGATTATTATTATTATTATAGTAGCATCATCATCGTCGTCGTCGTCATCATCATCTCAACCACCATCATCATCTTTATCGTCATCTTCACCATCATCATCATCATCATCACCATCATTGTCACCATCATCATCATCATCATCACCATCATTGTCACCATCATCATCGTCGTCATCACCATCATTGTCACCATCATCATCGTCGTCATCACCACCATCAGCATCATCTTCATCATTATAACCCCCACCACCATCGTCATCATCACCTGTCTTATTTGTTCATCACGGTTTCTTTTAACATTCGATGCCCTTTCCAGTTCCTGTTGTTGTTTTTCTTTTAATTCCCTGATGTATTCTTGCGTCCTACGCTCCTGCTCAACCAGCCGCTGCTCCTGATCATGATGATAGTTTTGTGGTGATGATGATGATGATGATGATGATGATGATGATGATGATGTGGTTATGATAACGACGACGCCGATGACGATGTGGTGGTGATAATGATAATGATAACAGTGATGATGATGATTCTGACGCTGTTCCTGATGTAGTTTTGGTGTTAGAAAATAGAAAATACTTTTTATTTTGTCATAATGAAAATGACGATCGATAACTACGAAATGATGATGATGAGGGTGATGATGACGATGATGATGCTGATGATGATATAAAAACTGACCACTTGGCGTTTTCTCTCCAAGGCCTGCTGCAACTTTCTATCATTGTTCGCCTTAATTAAAATGAAAATTGGTCTATTATCGTTATTGATACTGTTACTACTCCTACTACCCCTACTACTACTACTACTACTACTACTACTACTACAACAACAACTACTACTACTACTACTACTACTACTATTAATGCCACTACTACTACTATTAAAACTACTAATAATACTAATACTACTACTACAGCGACAGCTTCTACTACTACTTCTGTTGCTGCTACTACTACTACCATTACAACCACTATCAAAACTACTGCTACTACTTCTACTACAGCTACTACCACATAATAATGGTCACTAAAAACTAAACAAGACCCCGACTGACCTTCCTATCTATATTAAGATTAAAAGTTGAATTAATACAATCGCCTCCAAAATCCAGCTCCGATGGTTGCTGATGATGATTGTGCAAGGCTGATGAGGATTCTTCATAATGATGATGATGATGAGGACCAGGCTGTATTGATGTTGATGATGATAAAGATGATGATTTAATAGTATTAAGGTTAGGTAATAATATTTATAATATAAATGATACAAGTATATCTATATATGGATATATACACATGGATATATATATATATATATTCATGTGTGTTTGCGTATGTTTGTATATTTGCGTGTGTGTGTGTGTGCGTATGTGTGTGCGTGCATGTGTGCGTGTGTGTGTGTGAGTGTGTTGTCGTCAATTAGTCCCAAGCAGTGCTGCCTTTCAAACTTTATTCTGTTAGGGTTGAACCAAATTGAAATCAATTAGCATCGTCGTCGTCTCTTTTGACAGGATCGTTATGACATGTTGCCTGGCCTACTGCGTGACACACACGCACGCACACATTTACAAACACACACACATTTACAAACACACACACATTTACAAACGCACACACATTTACAAACACACACACACATACACACACAATCTAGTATATGACAAGTCCGAACGCGTTTGACTAAAAAAAAGTTCCATAAATACATTAATAAATAAAAATTAAAGCCATTTTTAATAAAACCCATGCATTTTTTTTCTTCATAACTAATCTTACCGGCTAGTTCGCGCCAAACTTAATCGTCGTCATCATCATTATCATCATCGTCATAATCATCATCATCGTCGTCGTCGCTGTTGTCGTCATCATCATCATTTCATCACCGAGGATTTTAATCACCTTCATTATTTTTTTGGTTGTACATCGTAAGGGAAATTATTACGATCACCAATTTCATATGGTAGCAATAATAACTAATGATCGTGCCATAGATAAAAATAATAATGAATTACAATGATAATAATAACAATTAATAATAATAAATAATAATAATAATAATAATAATTTATGTAGCGCTCCATTCCTGTCAGATCCCACATTAACGTACCTTGGCAGATTTGTTGCAAGCGAACGAGTGATTCAGCGTTGAAATAGAGTCGTTCAAATGTTTCATCTTATTGATTGCCTAAATATAAAAAGATATTCGAATAATATCATTAATAATAACAATTATTATTATTTAATTAATATATTTTTTGTAATATATTATATATTTAAAATTATTTTCCACATCATTCAGGTTGGAGTATTTTTTAAAAGCGAATAGGATGGCGATATGGTGTACGATAGGATACGATACGTATTTTTAAAAGCGAATAGGATGGCGATATGGTGTAACGGTTAAGAGGTCAGATCTACTATTACAGGGATTGGAGTGTCTTTTTGTGTGTGCGTGCGTGCGTGTGTGAGTGCTTGCGTATGTGTGTGTGTACGTATGTGTGCTTGTAGTGTGGCGTGTGTGTGTGTTTGTTTGTGTGTGTGTGCTTGTGTGTGTAGTGTGACGTGTGTTTGTGTTGTTTGTATGTAGGGTGTGTGTGCGCGTGTGTGCGTGTGTGTGCGTGTTGATATCTCGGTGGATTAATAATGATAATAATGATAATAATGATAACAGTAATAATAATAATAAAGCCAATAAAAATAATAATAATAATTCGATGATAAATACGAAGGCACGCACGCACACGCACACAAACACACGCACGCACACAAACACAAACACATACGTCCAGTTATAAGTTATTTATTTGAATTATAATAATGATAAAAACAATAATAATACAAATAATAATAATAATAATATAAGATTATTGATAATAATAATAACAATAGCATTATAAGTTTTTATTAATTTCAATTGCAAACATTTTCAATACTCTCCAAGTACTTTTGGTTTAATTAATGAAGTTCGGTTATAAACGACTACAAAGATATATTGTATTATTATTATTACAATTATTATTATGATTATTATTAAAATTTATTCTACAATATCTTGATTTTATTTCGATTTTATTTTGATTAGTCTTGATGTTTTCTGATAATAAGAGTTCACATTATTATTATTAATTTATTATTAATTTATTATTAATTCAATTTTGTTAAGTTCTCAGTCATCACCAACGACAGAGACACACACAAAGCAGCTATCAATAAGCTTGAATACACACACAGACAAACACAAACACACATACGACACACACCACACACACACGTCTTAACCACTACTCCCATGATGTATGATAATCATGAACCGTATCGTATCGTATCGTGTTGTTTTGTATCGTATCGTATCGAAATTGTCATAAAATTAAGTCGCAATCAAACCCTTATAAAAATATTCAAAGTTCAAGATGATACGTTATTACTATTTTTAAAATTATTATTAAAATTATTATTAAAATTATTATTAAAATTATTAATATATTATTATTGTGCTTGTTATTATTATTGTTGATCTTATTGTTATTTTTTCTGTTAACTGATATCACACTTCATTGACGTCACTAACTGCGTTATTTATTATACTACTATTATTACTACCACAACAGCTGCTGCTGCTGCTACTACTACAGTTGCTACTACTTCTGCTTCACCAACAAACCATCCAATCTTCCGACTAATCAACCAGCCAGTCAACTTATTTAACTCGATTTTTTTAATCAGTCGACCAACTAAATTAAAAAATAAATTGATCTATAAAAAAATTTCGAAATAATTTTTATCAGAAATTAAAAATATTTTCATTTCCCTGAATTAATTACTGATTTAATTGCTTAACTAACTTCAGACATTATGCAAAAAATCGTCTTGCCAGCACTCTCTAATTAACAATTATAATTTAATGAAAGAACGAAAGAAAGAAAATGAATGAATGAATGAATGAGCAAACTAAAAAGAACAAATAAACGAACGAACAAACATATGAATGAATGAATTCATGAATGAACGAACGAACAAACGAACGAATGACGACAGAAAGCAGTAATAGCAATTACATCGGTCAGAAAAAGACAATGAGACCAATTCGTATTATTAAACTCTTATTTAAATTCTTCTGAAAACTGCAGAGAGTAAGAATTAATTTAACAATAGGCGGACGGATGAATGTGCAAACTTCAATTCATTGAAATTGAACTTGAGCCTGCCTACTAGAACATTCAAAATATTTCGCTAGTCATCTGAAGAAAATTTCATTTATGTAGACATTTATGGAAATCTAGAATATGAAAAAAATGTTTTCGAATGATTCAAGAAGCTTTTAGAAGAAAAAAAAACTTTCAAATACCTGAAATTTAGGATCGCCGACTCTCGTTCTCATTTCTTTCTCCGCCTCCCACTCCATCTTCTTCTCTCTCCTCACTCTCTCTTCTTCCAGTTCCCTCTCTCTCTTGGCCCATAATCTTTTTAGTTCTTTCTGATCCTGAATCGTGTGTGATATAATTGAGAGTTAATTGATTGTAGATTTCGTATATTCCTTGATGCGAATTAATTTTCAATAATTTTCAATAGAGAATAAAAAATATTTAAAAAAAAATACATTATTCTCTCTCTCTCTCTCTCTCTCTCTTTCTCTCTCTCTTTTTGTATATATTATATATATATATATATATATATATATATATATATATCTGTTTGTGTGTATGAAAAATAAATCTTGTTATGTGCATGCGTGTATCCGTGCGTGTGTATAATAAATCTTCATATATGAATGAACCTGAATGCGGGTGTGTGTGTGTGGGAGAGAGGGTATGTGTGTGTATGTGTACATG